TTTCTTCTTTTTCTTTTTTCATAATTTTGTTTCATCTTTTTTTTTTTTTCAATTTTTTTTCTTGCTTTTGCTGCTACACTCACGAGCAGGAGCATCCGGCGGACAGACATACGGACATGGCTAGCCCCTAAGGAGCTTCGCCCCTAAAAAAGGGGACATGACGTCTCAAGCTCAGCTCAGGACGTCTCGAACTCAACTCAGCTGAAAACTCAGCTCAGGGCAATGTCTCCAACTCAACTCAGCGGAGTTTGAGACGCTGTCTTGTCCCCTTTTTTTTCTTTCTTCTTACACTATTTCTTGCGAATTTCATTCCCAGTCTCAGGATTTTGCATCATGATCAACATACACCAGCTCGCCTGCACCTTGACAATTTTTTAGTTTGTAATTGCTTTGGAGGTTAATTTTTCGGGACGGAAGAAACGCCGAGCAAAAAGCACTGAAGCTGACACAACTTGAGGTCGAGGAGCGTTCTACCATACCAGTGGTGTCGAAAGAGGAAAAAGGGGGAGGGGAGGGGGGGGGCTCCAGTCTCTCTTCCCCCCCCCCCCAGGTATTTCGGACTGTTAAAGAAAACAGTACGGGGAAAGAGGGCATGGTCGAGCTTATTTTAATCAGAAATTATTTATGCATATGTATAGCTACTGTCACTCTTCACTGCTAGAAGATCGCGTAGATGGTCATTGTTAGAAACTCATTGTCCAAAGGCACTACTTGTCACATGCTCGGTGGTTCGGAAGTTCAAAGCTGTCTTTTCGACCTAAATATCTGTGCCATTGGTAAAAAATAATAAATAAATAAACATAACAATAAATGCAAAAATAAAAAGCCGGAGAAAAAGAAAAACTATCAAGAACCCGCCGGAAGTGTTGTATTCTTGCATATTCAGAGGCCCAGAACTAAGAAACACGCTTCTCCTACGAAAATGTGCACAGGCTAAAAGAAACACGCCCCAAAAAGATTAAAAAAAAAAAAAAAAGTTTTTGACGTGCTGATTTTGAACATTTTTAGAAATCTTCCCACATGACTTCCCCATGAGTAAATTTATTCTTCAACGTGACAAAAAACAATAAATACATTATTTTGTATACTGCAGATGGTGATGATGTGTACTGTCTGTGGTGTTAATTTAAATGCGATACCTCAAACAATTTAGACGAAAAAAATTACCGAGTTTAGGGCATAATTGCCCTTAGACACATGTTTAGATATTTCTTCGAAACTCGTCTTGAACAACAATAATCATATCTTAAGACGACACTTACATAGGCTATACATAGATCATTCTTAAAAAGTTAAACATCTCTACCATAAATAGTTTCGGCTATAGCGCGCTTCAAATATGGCACAAATGACAATTGCCAAAAACCCGTCGTCCTTACTCGCTCCTTCGGGAATCTATTTCTTTAAAACCAAGCATGCCAGATGATTGAAATAAAACAGCATTGTCTTTCGCAAGGAATACAGCACCGCATGTAAAAATGCGAAGAGAAAAAAAAAACAGAAAAAAACTATGAATGTACCTCACTGCTTGAAACCAAATGAAACCGCCCGCTGGTTTTTCAAAGTTCGTCGAACTTTTGACTTTTCAGGAATCGAAAGTTTGACAATTTTCAAATTCTTTAGATTAATAGGTTCGAAAGTTAGAAAAACTATAGAATTTCTTAGCGTAGGAAGTTCGAAAGTTTGAAATGCTTCGAACGTTTTAGTGCAAGAAGTTAAAAAAAATCATCAAAATTTTTAGTCTATCAAGTTCGAAAGTTTGACAAGCATCGAATTTTGCAGCGTAATAAGTTCGAAATTTCGAAAAGCGTTGAAATTTTTAGTTTAACAAGTTCGAAAATTCGATTTCCGTCAAATTTCTCGATATAGAAAGTAAGAAAATTCGAAATCTTTCGAACCGCTTGATTCGATCATCGAACCTTTGGTTCGAAAAAAGTTTGCGGCATCCCTACCAGTAACCGTGAGGTGGTGGACACAATCAATGTCTTGAGGCGGTTCGAGATCACACAGCAAGACGAAGACACAATGCAGTCCGTCTGGCTATTTGAACGTCATGTGATGCCAATAATAATGCCAAGAGTGGCCCAGAAAAAGGTGACGGACTACTTTTAACCGAAATCGAGGCGTCCTCGGTGTGTTTTGTGCACCTGAGAAACATTTGTGGAAACTTTCTTTAACGTTAGCCTCGAATTTCTATGTAGCGAAATTTCAATGTAATGAAGTAAATTCCGAATTGTACGGACCTTGTTACATCGAGGTTTGTCTGTATCGCATTTGACAAAGCTCTAAGTGCTATACTGCTACACCGTATGGTAGCAATTTTTGCAAAGCGTAATGATGCAAATTGCGATGTGTGGAACTTATGCGTTTAGGGCACCTGGACTACACTCACAGTGATCGCGCTGATTAATAAAAACAAATTTTGGATGTCTAACTGAAAGAAATTAGTACTTTCGAACTCAATATACAGCCCAAAAGGAGCTGGTGGAGCCACCTCAGAAAACACTGCGTCGTCGCTGCCGAAGAAAAACTTCGAAGCAGTTAGTATTATCGTCTCTTCGAGTGCTTTCTCCATGATCAAAAGATATAGTCTGCTATTTTTTGCTATCGCTGCAATGTTTTCTTTTTGCCGTAGCCAGGACAAAGCCAATCTGTGCAGTATCCAGGTGATTATCCAGGCCGTTCCAAAATCGAGTCGCGGATTGTTTCCTCGCAATGTCACATGGCATTACCTGCTGATGTAGAAGACAAGTTTCTTGGGTAAAATTTGGAACATAGTCCTAGTGTGCTCTCGCGAGTTTGCTGGACTTTAGAGTTGCCTCAGAGCGCACTTGATTTGGATACAAATGCTATCATCATCATCATACCACAGAGGTAGCTTTGGTTTTGCCCGCAAGTTGAAAAATTCATATTGCAACACAAATATGCAAAGAAAAATGTTTTTTTTTTCGAGGAGGAGGAGGAATAAGCTTTATTGTTGGAGGCAAGCGCGGTTCGCAAAGAAACTGCTCTTGACGGGTGGCTAGGCGCGCTTGATGGCCGAGAGCCCGTGTACCTCGGCGGCCTCGGCAGCTCGACGAACTACCTTTAATTGGGTGGCCGGGTCCGAGCTGCACAGCGCAGCCTCCCACCGCGCCTCCGAGGGGAAAGGGGAAGGATGGAAGGATAGGCAATCCCATAAAATGTGGGAGAGGGTGGCTCGTTGTTCACAGAAGCTACAGTTAGGAGTATAAAGGGGTGGATAGATGTGGGAGAGGATTAGGGGACATGGGAAGGAGTGTGTTTGTAGCTGTCGCCACATGATGCTCTCTTGGCGGGAGAGGACAGGTGCCGCTGGAGGGTAAATACGGCGGGTTAAACGGAAGTGAGACGTAATGTCGTGAAAAGTCGCTAAACTGTTGCGAGCCGAACGGATCTCGGCGGTCCGGAGCTGTGCCCCCTCCGCCCGGGTGGTGTATCCTCGGGCAGTGGAGTAGGCCAGCTCGTTCCCGCAGAGACCCGAATGTGCCGGCGTCCAGACCAGGCTAACAGCAGATTCCAGCGGTTGTGCTTTGAAGGTCCTCAGGATGGTCTGAGCGGGGGTGGACACGTATCCTTTGGCGTAGTTTAGGATGGCGGTTTTGGAATCGGATATTATTGTGTGGGGGCAGGGCGTGGTGGTGAGGGCTAGTGCTATAGCTGCCTCTTCTGCCTGTTCTGGAGAGGTGGTAAAGATTGATGGCTCCAGCGGTTATCTGCTTCTCGGAGATCACGGCGGACAAAAATTAATTTTGAGACATGCCCGTCCTAACCAGGTAGAAAAAAAAAAAATTTTTGTCCCCCTAGGTTTGGTGTTTATTTAATGCAGCAGATGAAGGTTAACTATAGTAACAATACAAGATTTCTACTTCAAAGTATATTATATTTAAAGGAGCTAAGACATGAAAATGAAACAGATAAGTTATTCTTGAAATATAATGCTCATAGGCTACTTAGTATATACACCAAGTTTTGCTATATTTAGAGCTTTAGTAATTGAAATCAATTTACGAATTTTGATCATTTTCGTCTGGTGACCAGGCAGTACTGCCCAAGTTAGTCACACCATGGTGCCCATAAGCCACGTGTTCATGAACGCTCCCTCATTCTAGGCGCCCTCATGGTTGCCCAAGCTCTCCCCACTGCGGTACAACCTAAATCGCTTACGGAACTCGGCAACCCCAACGCTATTCTCGCACTCGCCCGAGGCCCTTTAACCTTCCACCCTGCATGCGCCTGCGAGATTGTTCCGGAAGACGGCAACCATGGCGAGTTTGTCCCTGACTCGCCGTCGCTGGAGCTGGTTGCCAGTGGGTAGCAGTCAAAATGAACAGCTTCCAAGATCTCCTGATAACAATCACTCTCATCGCTGCTGCGATCAGTGTCAAAGACTGATGATGCGAGTGATGCTGTAGACATAAACGTCACAGACCGCATGCTAGAAAGGCGGAAGGTAAATAAGGAAACTTAAGCTCGAGGCGCCAAGAGAGCCAAGTCTGAGTGCGTGCAAGGGGATGCCGCGCGGTTGGTTGGTTGGCTGGGGACGTCCCCAGCCCACCAGCCACGGCGTCCTTTTCGAATGGGGCGAATCTGAGGGTCCCGCATGTAAATTGATTTTCCTATCGAAACTATCATGCCATTTTCGAAACAAATTGAGCAGGATTATAAGAACATGCAATGGGTCCTACCAGTATTAGTTAGCTCATATTTTATTTTTGGCTTGTCCTGACCCCTTTGAAGGAATGCAAGGTGAAGGGTCAGTTTCCTTTTTTTTTCAAGTTGCAAATGACTAAGTCGGTGACAGGACCCAGTACATGTTTTGCCTCCAGCGTATGCTCATTGCCTTACGCGGGGCTTTGGCTGTGCGTGGGACAAAGTGTTATTGAGGTGCTGGAGGTGAGCACGTGCTAACCTGTGAGCGACTCGAGTTGCTCGTCAGACCTGTGGGAGCAGGTGCGGTGAGCTTGACACGCTGGTCGCAGGGAGGGCTTGGAGGACCCCCTGGACGACATGGGCATGGTGCAACAGCAGCTGGATCAGCTGTCAACGATTGGGCGCTGCGAATATGAGAAGACATGCGCCCTCCTTGTGCAACTCCTGGACCAGTCTGCGCAGGCATACCGCGAGGCCGGCAGCCAGGGTGTGGCTGCGCTCGACCTGGCCGTGCTCGAAGGTGGGTCTCTCCCGACTGCCTGCCAGGTAGCCCCTCCCGGCCTCTGCCTGACCCCTCGGAGGGGACAAAGAAACGCCGCACCTCATTTGGAGGTGGGGGAGAGTCCTCACCACGGAGACCATTGGATGTGTCCCTAGAGTATTGGACATTCATGCTTGTCCCATCATTACCTTCTTCGTGTTGAAGACTCTCCATTTGGTGAGCATTGTGGTGGTTTGCTAAGTGTACTGCACATTCTGCAACACTGCAAATTCTTTGATTGGGAACATTGAGCAGGTTTTCCTCAAACTTTTTGGATATCTTCCATTTCATCCAGCCTTTACGCTAAGGGATCGGCCTTTAGTTCCTTTGGTCATGTTTTTGATTTTCTCAAAAAAGCTGGCGATTTACACCGGTTATAGGCCATATGAAAAATACTTGCCGGCTATCATCGTCATGCCATTAGGAGCCGTCACATGAGGCACACCTGCATTTAACTCGGGTTTTCATGATATTAGGAGAATTTATTTGTGCACTCAATGGGCTGCTGTTTAGTTTCGGTTCAAAGAGGAAAAGAAAGACTGCCACAAATTCAGAAAAAGGAAATGTCAGCAACAAGGTCACAAGACTCATCACTCGAGCGGTGAACTGTGTCATCCTGGTCAGTGAACAATCTTTATCGAGGACATTTTTTCAAGGGTTCGAACTGGGCTTGCAGCAGGTGGTCATATTTTAGTTCTGCGACTCCCACTTTGCCGGGACCATTGACTCTCGGGCAAAACTATCGGTACGGGAACCCTCCGATATGGCGGAAATTTGACAATTGATCATGAGGACACTAAATAGCTAGCGCTCCATTTTGCATATGGTGTCTAGGCCTTCTGCCCTGGAATTTCTTTCTTTTACGGTAGGCCCTTTCAATTAATATTTCTTTACCTTTCTAATTAAACTGTTGGCATAGTATGGCATATGTTTCATTTTGCGCCATTGAACCCAATCGTCGTCACTTTCGTGGTCCCGGCAGTGACGTAGTGAAGTAGTACCTATAGACCTTGTAAACGGTAATGCATATATTAAGGATTTTTTTGCTTAGATCCTCCAAGATAGTGCTTGAACTGGATGAACACTTCACCTGTGGACAGGAATGACTAAAGATATTTGGGAACCCGGGGAACCCCGAATTCCTAGGAAGGCAGTTTGAGAACTCGTGGGATTGACGAACCCCTTTTTGCTCGAAACAATTTTGCCTTCGGGTTTTTCTCGTTCTTTCGCCAGCTGTGAAGTTAATAAATTGTGGCGATTCAATGAGTTGCATCTGGAGCCTCCGATCGCGAGTGTTATAAACTAAGGTTTGGAGTCTTAGACAGAAAGAAAAAAAAAGAGTGTGCTTAGTTTATTTTTTTTAAAACAGATTTTAACCAAAAATGGTCAGTATTTTAATATGGTGCACCTAGCGAGCCTTTGTGCTCTGTTTTAGGCCCAATCTACTTGGTTGCCTGATTGTCAACATTTCGCACGGTGGTTGCGCACACTCCCCGTGACGGCACTGCCCAAAACGCCGCTTTACCTTAATTTGCTTTAACTATTGACGACGAGATGTTTTGATGGTGCCACCTCATGGGCTCCCTCCTATGACGGAGCTGGTAGGATCCGAGCAGACGATGCGGTATGTCAAAGGACTATGTTAGTCCGCATCTGTGCCGATTAAAAACGTTTAATTTATATAAACAAACATCTGACGTTTTTGTGAGTGATCTTTCTAATGAATAACAGTGTCTTAAAGTTGCTTTTTATATTAATAAAAACTTTCTAATGTTTGAAAACGATTCTGGAGCTTTACATTACAGCTTGTATAATATAAAATATTGCAGAAAGAAAAGAAGGTAAACTTTCTCATGTATATACATATTCATAGAAAAATATGAAAATTTATTTTCTATATAGAAATCGGACTTGTGAGGTCGAGTATGAATCTCCAGCACTAAACTTTCCCAAGATCGGTGGCCTGCAGTGCCATTGGGGTGGCATCTGTCCCCACTTTGATTGCACAAACGTGTGATTTTGCTTGCAAAGAAAGATTAAAGAGGCTTGAAATGCGAGGGTTATGAACGGCATTTGTTTGCTTTAGAAGCACTACTTTAAAGGGCAACTCCAGTTCATTATCAATATTAAGAAAACAATGCAATTCTCTTTAGCGTCGCCTAAAAGAAACCACATGCCAGATATTTCTATCAAAGTCTGTCTAAAAGTTGATGAAACTGTCCAACAAAATTTGTCAGCTCGAAATTCCCAAAATTTGCTAATCCTAGCGGACGAAATGCGGCGTAGCCAACAGTGCAGTCAATACCACCACACCAACAGCGCACTCATTGTTGACCACGTAATTCGTGGAATCCTCATGCACTTGTGCTCCTGTACGAGCATGTGTCATCACTGGCAGCGTCCGTCACGTGCGAGGGGGACATATTTACATGTGGTTTATTGAACTTCACTTTCTACTAATGTTTTAAAATTAAGGCCATGTGAACAACTTCCCTTTTTCTGCGCTAAAACACAAGCTGCGACCGTGGTAGTGCAGGCATTGTTGGGTGTAGCCAACTGCCGATTGTAGCAGACAACACATTTGTCCTTGCGCCACGCTGCGACCGGCCGCCCGGTTCGTCACATCACGATTTGTACCACATGGTTATAGCATTTAGGTGACGATACGACAGCAGTGTTGCCCGCCATAGGCAAGGTTTTAGTTTCGGTTAGTGGTAAGCTTTCAATAAGGATTGCACAAAAAATATTAACCTTTTTTTGGAAAGAAATGACGTAAAGCCGTTTACTACTACCTCGAAGCGTAATATAATCAACCATTAAAGGGGCACTGACAAGTCAAATTCTTTTTTTTTTTTTTTCATTATCCGAAATGATTGAAAACAATGTCTGGACATTACCCTAGAAATTCGGAACTTGGGAACTCAGTATTTATGAAGCAAAAAAACACTTTCCGAAAGTCGAATTTGAAGTTCCTGCACGATCTGCGCCACAGTGACCACAAAGATACAGTCGCCCTGCAACTCGAGTTTCTCCCGCGCCTCCGTCTCGACCCGAAATGCCGTGTTCGCTCGTATCTTGCGATGAACCGCTCTCCTCCATGTGCCGCCTATCGCAGCGAGCAGACGGCGCTTCACTTTCGAGTTCGAAGTTGTTTTAGGGCCCTTTCAGTGATCTCCAATTCTTTGAACGGTGCGAGGTCGAAGAGAACGTGCAGTGAACTTTTGTGAGCAACGTGAGGGGCCACGTCGCACCAGTTCTGCCTGAAACGCTGCCCGGCGGAGTCGCAACCAAAATTACGGTACACAGACACCAAACGCATTTGTCGTGACCGTTTGACAATTTTCTTTTTCGAGTCCGAGAAGTCGTTGGGCACCTACAAAAGAGAACTTCGTCGTCTTTTGTAGGATAAAAAGCCAGGAGGAGACGCCACTCCAGACTCTGATTTTCGGTCTTTTAAGAAGTGTGTTCGCAATTACGTTAAAAAACATGTTTTACGAATACTGTTAAATATGATAGAAATGTTGCTTACAAAGGTTCTAAATTTCATAATTTTTGACGTCTCAAATAAAAAGAAGCGAGGAGGTCTGAAGAGAGAGAAAAGCGCCAAATATAAGAGCACGCGCGCATGGGGAAATGTTTTTTGCGTGTCTATGACTACATCATTTTAGACAACAAACAAAATATGACCTTTGGGGTGTCAGTGCCCCTTTAACTCAGATTGCTTGGAATTGACCGGAGTTGCCCGTTAAGTATTGTTTGGGAAGGACGTGATAAAAGAAAATGAATGAAAACTTTTGGCAGCTAAAGGTTCCGTCAGCCAACGTGCTATATAAAACTGTAAATTCCCCGCTACAGGGTTGTGTTCATAGACGAGTGGTTAGTTGCGCCGTGTTTGGTTTTGTTTCAACATAGTTTTCTTTTTTTTTTTTTTTGAGTTGTGGTTTGATTGAGTAAATACGCCATTGTATCATCAGCATTCCTTTTGCAAATGGGTAACACAGCAACTGACGACAAAACCAATGGAGTGGCTGATGTGATTGCATTTATAGGGTGGTCCAAGTCACCAGGCTCGATCTAAAATGGACCGTAAGAATCAATGCCTGTACGCAGCAACCTAAACTTTTCGTCAAAGGTGTATTTCACAGGTCAGTTTTTTCTTGTAAAATTACAAAGCGTAGTTCTCTTTCTGTAAAAAATAGGGCCAAGAAACTTGCCAGGGTCTACGGCGGGCAGCGATGCAGACGACAGGGGTTCAGTAGCGGTGTGTGTTTGGCGTTCGTATTGATAGATGGCGTCGGGAGCAGCGTCCGAAGGTGTAGTTGACCAGCGAAAGAAAGCGGACAACACGCAGACGAAATCCGTTGGCACCAAAAGCGCCTCCGTTATGCAGACGCGTTTTTTTACTTTCAGTTTTGTTTTTATTGTTCGCATTTATTTTTTAACAGAAGGTACATTTCAAAAAGATTATGCTCATTTTAATAAACCACGGTGGTCGCGATAAGGGGCTAGCACCATCTATCAGTACGAATGCCAAACACACCCCGCTAATGAACCCCTGTCGTCTGCGTCGCTGCCCGCCGTAGACCCTGGCAAGTTTCTTGGCCTTATTTTTTACAGAAAAAGAACTACGCTTTGTAATTTTACAAGAAAAAAAAAGACCTGTGAAATACACCTTTGACGAAAAGTTTAGATTGACCTGCAGGCGTCGATTTTTACGGTTCATTTTAGATGGAGCCTGGTGACTTGGACCACCCTATATGTCCTTAGGCCTAGCCAGATGCAAAGGGGTCAAAATAGAGCATAAAAAATTTGTTTGTGGGCACTGTGGTGTTTAATTTTACTGTAATGGTCTATATTGGGGGTCAACTTTGTGTGGCAGTGCAGTCCCAGGTATGGGAGCACATGTGCCTGTGCTCTTCGAGTGCCAATTAAAGCTGTGCACGTGCACTCCTCTCTTCGGAAATGCTACAGGACAAAAAGTTGTAAAGGTAACGCATGAACCGATATTGAGTTATTCCAAGTAAATCAAGGTTTTTTTGTTCTTTTTCTTATAGTGCGAACATCCCCTGCAATACCTTTACATGATACTTTCAAAATACATGGTTGTACTTCATTTCACTCATATTTCAAGCCTTTTTAACCTCTCTGCGAGCGGAATCACACTTCTGTGATCGAAGCAAAGACTAATTTGTGGCAGCCACCCTGCCATGGATGGAATATATAGGAGATAAGATACTGGTTGCCTAAAACTCGTTTTAATTTCAAAGATTTTCAAATGCATCTTTCATGATTTGGTGAACTTTCAGTCTTGTTCTGCGTTACAATTTGTCAAAAAAGCTTGCATAAACTTTGGAGGCCTACATGCTACCTGAATGCCCACACTCCCCGAACCGCCTCAATAACGCAAAACAAAGGCGAAAGATGGCACTAGCATCCAAGGAGGGGTGGCGCCACCAAGTTTGGCGGTTGCTGCAACTCACGTTGCAGCAACCGCTAAACTCTGCAGACTCTGGTCCATCTGAATGAGAAGCTCAATATGGTTATTCCTATAATTCTTTGGGAACACCCGATTCATACACCTTAGTCGCATGAACTATGAAACTGAGATTTGTTCTTTGTTCACCGGGACAAATTGAGCCCGATCATCCTCAAAGTCGGTAATTTTCCACACCTAGGCAATTGCTCTGTAGCGAGTGTCTACTGTAGACCATGGATGCTCTTTTTAGTCTCAAGGAACTCCCCATCTCTCGATTATTAACCGAGGAATCCTTCCAGTCCTGGCATGGATACAATAAACCGGTGCACAAGCTACAGGCCCTCTAAACAATAATTCACATACTAGGGAAGAATTGGCTCATTGTTATGCATCGGTAGGCAACTGGAAACTAGCTTTACATAAGGGCGGAGATGGTGTAGGAAATTGGGGAGCTCTGAAAATACCTGAGGTTACTCCTAGGAACCCAGTTTGAAATCCCATGTTCTAGCCTTTTAGCTTGGCTGAGAGTCCGGAGGGGCTGAAAAGCACCTGCTGAGTTTGACGCATGCACGGCAGGGCAGCTGTCCTGGCTGGTGTACATCATTGGGGCGGCTGTGGGGGGACGAGCGTCCTTCTCCACGGCCGACGACCACGATGCCATGGACGGCGAGCTGGTGTGCAGGTGAGCCGTCTGGTCTGCGGGTGGTTTGGGCCTGCAGCTCTGGGCTTCTTTCAGGGTGCTCCAGCTGATGCAGCTGAGGGACTCTCGCCTGCCCTTGGGCTCCTGCTCGGGCGAGAAGTTAGAGCTGGCTCTGCTGAGCTTTTTTGAGCAATTCCGCAAGATCTATGTAGGAGACCAGGTGCCCAAGACGTCCAAGGTATGCAGTTTGCTTTCTTCTTTATGGGCTGAGATTCTCCCTTCAGCTGCCATTTCCTGAATGAGGCGTTTTTGAGGCAGGCCGGTGATGGAGTGTGCACCTACATTTGAGATGGGTCCACAAAATTATGTGGAGGGATCTGAAGTTTAAGTTCGTCTGAGTACAAGCAAGATAAAACGTCTCACTTTTGTCGGATGACTGCGATTCTGCTCTCGTGTCGTGGAGCAAAACAAGCAATAGTTTACCCAGCTGCAGCCACGGTTTCTGCGGAACGGCATTTTGTGACGTTCGCTTTGGGAACCCTTATTCTCCAACTTGGATATGGTCACGATGGCACACGCTTTGCCATGTCACACGTGAAAGTTGTGAGTACGGAACCCCCGTTGTCTTCCTCCCTCTCTATCTCCTCTTCCTGTTCGCGTAGGTCTCTTTCTCTTTCCTTGGGAAACTGGTGGGCTCAAGGCAGCTTCCCTGCTTGCGTCTGAGCAGTGGAGAGTTCACTCTTGTACTCGAAAGACAAAGGATGTGTGCTGTTGCCCTCAGACGACGGCACACTCCTTATTTGACTTTTCCGCCAACGACGATTCGGGGCCTATGACTTTGGCCGCTTGCTTGGCTATGGGAACCCCTGTTCCAACAAACGTTGATGGATCTGGATCATTGTCTGGTATGGCGTTACTACTTCTGCTTGTTGCAGCCGGCCAACGACCCGATGCAGCAACCGCTTGCCTGGTAGCGTCACCGCGTGGTGGGAGTGTTCTCGCGGTATTGAGTATCCATTGTCTCTGTGCTGTGCCTAACTTAATTCCCGCAATGCTCGAGTAGTTTATCTGTGAGTGAATGAATTGTGAAGTTATTTTCCCACGTCAAAGTTGTTTCCAAAATTGTCACTTGGGCACAAAGTATTCAAAAACTTAGAATTCTTTGAAGACTAAAAGTGTGCTGCAAATTGAATCAAATAGCACACTATTTTCAAGCTATTAAAAGTTCTGAATATTCACACATCTCTATTGTAAGCAAAACCAATATTTTCTACATTCAATAAATCCTAAAAGCTCCTAAAATCATTTTGTGGTCCCTTTAAAGCTTAAAGGGGTGATGCAACGATTTTTGTACTTTGCGCAAATACTGTTTATAACAAATCCCTGACGTTAATGACCTATGAAACATGCGTTTGTTTTTCAGTGCTTCGTTAGCTTGTTCGCTGTAGATGGTTTCTTTTCGGTCTGTTTTCTGTTATTCTGTATACCTTTTACCCTAGAACGTTGTGGTTTTGAAATGTGCCTTCACAGAACATGCGTCCGCGCTGTGCAGGATTACGAAACATGTCAGTCGGCGGTGTTCATAGCGCATATGCAAGTAACGAACTTCACAATAGTAAAACATTCTTTCACAAGCGCTTGTATGAAACAATGAAATTGATTTGAGTTTTGAGTTCACTGTTTCGCCTCTGCAGCCATGCTAAATGCTTACAGCAAAAGCTTCGTTTGACCTTTTTCTGAACTTTTTTCTGCTTGCCCACCGAGACATTGCCCACCCCACTATTTTATATGAATATCAGGTGGCAGGGGGAAGGCGGGTGATGTGTCGGGATATTACGAAATGTCATTGTAAATATTTCAAGAACTGAACGGCGGGGTGTTCTTGTTGCCACTTGGTGAGGAGCCGCCTCTCCGAGGTGAAGTGCCAGCCTCCCCAGGTGGCGGGTTTGAATCTTTGGTGCCCGCAGTCTGATGGAGGCACATTGCAGAGAAGTAAGTGACATTTCGGTTGCAAAGATCCCCAGGTGGTCGAAATTAATCCTCAGTCCTCCGCTTTGGCGTGCCAGATGCCCTTCGTTGGTATGGCACGTGAAACCCCCAAATTTGACTGACACTTGCTAGGGACTTCAAAATTGGAAGTTCCGTGCTCCCATGGATGCGTCACTAGTACTTGCGCTATTGGTAGGTGGTGTAAATTTAGAGCACCATGAAATTCAACCCACTTTGAATTTTAAAGTATGGAATCCTGTATAACTCCCAGAAGTTTGTGCGTCCGCACATACTTCTTGGCACTTGAAAAGGGGGTGCAACGATTTCCAGACTTAGGTCAAAAATTTGTGGAAGTTGCCCTCTGACACTTTTGAAGTAAAGAACAGAAAACCGACTTCGTCTGCATGTCCTAGTTGTGTAAAAAAAAAAAAAAAAAAAAAACATTGGCATTTCTGGCACCCCTTAACCCACTCCGTCTTCAGGGTCACACCTGTTCGTACTCCTAGTAACGTAATTCGGGGTGCCGTGTAGGATCCCGTGTGCTCTCTCGGAGGACGCTTCCTCTCCCTCTCTCTGCTGACATTAGCGGGCGGTATGCTGCAGCTTAGAGCCGACCGAGGTCACGTAAGTTTCTCGCCGTAGTTCCTTCGGCTGCCACTCGCGGCTGCAGGGGGGGGAAAAAGCTAGACTTTTGCTTTGCGATTATGCAGCAGAATCGCATCATTTTTTATGAAGATGTTTTCTCTATCCTCCGGGACATGATAAACTACGTAAAAATGACGAGATGCAAATTCTTTTAATCTTAAAATCGTTGCAACCCCCCCTTTAACATCAGTGTCGCCTGCTACAATGTTACATGATCTGATGTTATGTGACACTTCAACTTGACATCATAAAGTCGCATGATGTTTGATGTCTTCTAAAGAAATTTAAGCGATTGCTCCTTAAATGCTTCATCTCACTCATTATAAAATTTTAGAGATTAAGTTCTCTGCCAATTTTTTACATCCCGTAGAATACCGTGCATCTGCCCATTCCACACTAAGCGCCCATTCCCAAATTTGTACAATCTGAGAAAAAATGCACAGCACATGGATATGTAAAATAGATGACTGGACAAGTGCCCATCCCCCATTTATTAATGTATTAATGACAGATTAAGGGAACACAACAACAACAACACCCGATTAGCAAACTCGGGACTTTTGGGCGTTCGTTGCCGTGACTGTGGGTGCGCCGTGGACTTTAAAAATAACACCATAATCGGAAAGAACCATCATCAGTGAACACGTGAGATAATAGAAGCAGCTAACATCATAAAAAGGAGTGACACCTGTGTTAGTAGTCCATTCATAACGCTTACGGAAAGAGAATTGTTATATCTTGATTCTCGAAGGTAATGTGCGAGAGACATTGCTAATTGTTTTGTACAGAAGAGAACGAAGTGAGATGACAAATTTAATACGGGTAAAAGAAAAAGAAAAGAAGATGAAAATACAATTTGAGTTGGAAGTCAGCGCGACGTGAGTGACTGTTTTTCTGGTGTGAGTGAGTGTGAGGGTGAGGGAGTTTACTTTAGCGCTTCTCCTACAATAACAATAACTCCTAAAATCATTTCTTGGTCCCTTTAAAGCCTAAAGAGGCAATGCAACGATTTTTGTACTTTGGGCAAATACCGCTTAGAACGAATCCCTGACTTTAATGACCTATGAAATGCGTTAGTTTTTCACTGCATGCAAAAGAAGTCTCCGAAAAAATTTAAGAAAAGCGAGCAGCATTTACCCCTTCAACTTGCAGCCAGAACAAGCGGCCACGTGATCTGGAGCCGATTATATGCCGCCAATGTTGATCATAGCCACGCTCTGGGGTTGGCAAGACACAGGATACTCGCTGAGTTCCAGACATTGGAATGGTTGGGCTATTGTCGTCATTGCAGCGACAGGACACGTGCAATGACACGGGCCATAACCCGAATGCTTGTCGAACTATTGATTATCACGATCCCGAATCGAGTACTCACGCAATGCTGAAGTCCAACCTATAAGCTGCATTTAAATATCATCAGTGGGGATGCTATCAAGTTTTGCGAAGGAGAGATTGAAACAAAACGCTCACTTTTATCCTTAAAATTACACCACAGCAAAGGAGTTTCTTAGTCAGTGGCATTGCGTGCGAGAATACTTGGGTCCTACTTGTGGCCAGTAAGCTCGTGTGAAATGAAAAACATTTCAAGCGAATATCGTTGCACCACCCCTTTAACGTCCATCTAGTAACTGAAACAGTGTCGCAGCGGTAGCTGACATTTCGTTGGCTGCTGTTCTGATGTTTTTTTGGCTTCATTAAAGGGACACTATTTTTATTTTTCGCCAGGCATTTTAATCTGGTGTCAGAAGACTACCCAATCAATATTTTGCTACAGCATCACATATTTTTAATCAAGTAAAAAGAATGCAACTGCTGGAAACCGAAACTGGACTGGGGAGGAAGAAGAAGTGTAGAGGAAAGATTTGCCGGAAATCACGTGACTACACGCAACCATTTTTTTTTTTTTTGCTTTTGCGGTTGTGCAAAGTGGACAAGAAACAAGTCAAGCACTTCATGCTTGGCGTTTGCAAGTATTTTAAGCTCTTGCCAATTCTTGTTCGTATGGCAAGCAATGTCTTCAGCCAGGAGGAAGGGCGACGTCTGCGTGCGAATCAGCTTGGTGGTCGGGCGTGTCTTACGAAATAAATTCTAATTGTTTTGATCGGTAAACGATTTCTCTTTCAAAGCTAGACTAATTTGCCGGTAGAGGTCTCATGCCCGCCGACCTCTGAAGTAGAGGTCTCATGTCCGCCGTCCGCCGCCATTTTTTAGTCCATGTTCAGCTGTCCAGCCCGCAACTCCCACGATACGACACCATGTTGAGAATTACGCAGAGAACGCACAGGGTGCTTCTGGTTATTTATGCAATGTTTTCTTTGTTTTTTCAATCAACGTATTTAGTGTTTTTTAGAGGCCACAAGAAATGAGTATTTTCATCAATGTATTGGGTGTTTTTTAGAAGCCACAAAAAATGAGTATCATATTTTTTCTATTTTTAATATTGAATGTATGCCGTCGATGACCCCTGACTTTGATTATATTTGGTGTGTGTATTTAAACCATAGAAAATGGCACGTGACCACGGAGAAGGGAGTGAGTGCTACTCAAACCAGCCAGCTCTCGATTGGCGGCTTTCGGGTGGAAGGAAGACAAATTTCGAGCCGCAGATTGTGTTCTGGGTGGTTGGGCTTTCATATCTCATGTACAACTAAAAACTGTGGCAAGCATAAATGCCCTGTCGGTGTTCCTTTAAGAATTCCTTTTTGGGAAATTTTAGACTACATACTTGAAGACCCTTAATGTTTGAGTCCCTGATATTCTTAAACATTGCAAATTTGCAGATTTTAAGGGCAAGGAAATATCTTTATTGTCTAGCAAGGCGAATTACATTCTGCCCGTTTCAGGAATAATTGGGGCCACGGGAATTACGGTGTGTGGGTTTGTTTAAAAAATCTGCGTGCAGCAATATTTCTTAGATTGGCATTATTAACATAACATTCGGAAGTTGGGGAATTTTATTATTTTGTGAATATGCACCGAGTAGACTGACTTGTGTTGGCACAGCAGCGAGGAATGGAATTTCTCGATTTTTGTGTGTGCAGGTCTATCGGCGATTATCTGAAGTCCTGGGCCTCTCGGATGATTCAATGGTACTGAGCATTTTTGTGCGCAAGATAATCACCAACCTCAGGTACTGGAGCTGCAGTGAGGCAATTGTGAGCAAGACCCTGCAGCTGCTGAGTGACCTCAGTGTGGGCTACTCATCCGTCCGTAAATTGGTCAAGCTGGAAGAAGTGCAGTTTATGCTCTCAAACCACACGGCAAGTTTTTTTCACCCTGTCCTTTGGCTCACATTTCGCTAACTTGCTTCGCTTTTTGTTTTGTCATTGCAGAGTGAGCATTTTCCCTTTTTGGGTCATGGCACTGGCGGTAGGAGCCCTCGTGCAGCTACGACAACTGGTACAGGTCCTACTGGTACGTTACCTTTCTGGGCTGTGTGCAACTTCATTCTTTGTTTTTTTGGCCGAGCTGCAAGTTCTAAAAGTCTGGCTTAGTTTTGCCACCAATCGACTGGCTCTTAATTCCATACATGTTTTCATTGTTATGTTAAAGGTGGGAAAGCGTATGATTGATATTAGTATTTAGTTGGTATTTAGATGGTTATAGTTCTCAAGGTGTCAAAGAAACATAAACTATGGCTTGTGGTGCTTATAAGCTTGTTCGTAAATTGGCAATTCAAGCATCTGCTTACGCTTCTAGCTCTACAGCATTGTCTGTGTTTCTCTGTGCAGCTACACATTGGGAACAATAACCTTCTATTTACCTTTTTAAAAATCGATTTGGCAATGCTAGGGTGTGTATCCAACTAATTTGGACTCTTTCCTTTCTTTTTTTTTTTTTGTTGTCATGAGCTTTCATGCGAGGGTGCAGCATTTGGTTATCCTGAATCGATAAAGCGAAAACGTTGCCGGCATCAGTTGAATATCCTTCGATAGGAACGCTGTTGAATTGACAAACTGAGGTGCCTGTTTAATAAAAGCTCAGCTTGCCACGAAGCAGTGGGTGGCAGAAAAAGGCAGCCAGTGAAGGCAGGCGGCGTGGGTGCAGGCTCCAGCCGGGGCATGGACATGCGGTGCCGGTCGACCTTCTACACGTCCCTGGGAAGGCTCCTCATGGTGGACCTCGGAGAAGACGAAGAGCGCTTTGCCCAGTTCATGCGCCCCCTCACCGTGGCCTTCGAGGCGATTGGCAGCACCTTGGCAAACGCCGACTCGCCCCTCTTTAACGCGGACGAAGCCAAGGTGAGACACCCCTTCCAAGGGCCCTTTGTGGGACTCTGCATCAACTATTTTGTGCTCCCTTGTCAAAGCTAGCATATTTTCCACGGGGCTGCAGCCCCGCACCGCTGCAAGGTCTCATTGGCTTTGTGTGCCATCTCGTTCGCCCGCTTTTGCGCCGGTAGCTCCCAACGACGTTGGAGCACTGTGGTAGTAACGCTAACCTTGACATGGTACTAGTGCAAAATGGTTGACACCGAGCGCAATGCCCTTTCCTCGGGTAAGATAGTTTCTGGGGGGTACGGGGGTATAGGTTCCTTTTTGGGGGGTTTCTGGCCGATTCACCTGTCGGTTTTCATTTTATTATTGTTGATCTTATGAGTACTTATGCCCAAGCAGTAAATAGCAAGATCCCTGGTGTTGAAAATATGGTGCAATCATTCAGTATAATGCAGCTCGTTAGCAATAATTGATGTCTGGGCCGCGTCCAAAGGTAACAATAATGCATGCTCGAATGCTAAGCACTCTTGCATATGTTCTCTTTCTAACTTATTGTAAAGGGATAGGCCAGGAGACTGAGAAATCTCTGAAATTATGTGTGGAAATGGGCAGTATTTGAAGGCACCTGTGCTTATAAAAACGGGCATTAGCTGCATGTTTTAGCACTCCTGCCGTGTTTGTATTCAAGTATTGGTTCTTTTTGCTTCATGATGGCTTGATCGTTGCTCACGATGTTAGGTGACATGGTTAGTTTTTTCTCTCTTAATTTTTTTTTCTCGGGAACAAAATTCGGTAGAAAATGAGCAGGTTATAGTCGAACCCGGATATATCTTATTCAAAGGGGACCAGATAAATAATTTTATATATCGATAATTTGAATTACAAAAATATGTTAACTTAAGCTCCAGTTGAAATTTCTGCGCGTCTCTGCTAAAACCGAAAGCCGCGACAAACGGGACCTTACCAAATAGAGCCTCTAAGAGCAGCTGAATGCATTAGAGCTTAGTTGGTGAAGATCACAAATGCCGCCGAGTTCACGTCATGCCATGGTGTTTGCGATCGTTTACGCCTGGCCACGACCTCCACACAGCACCATCAACAATACACAAACATAATTAACAAAAAAAATAAAAAACGGAAAAAGCAAACTGCATTAAAAAAAAAAAAAAAACATTCATAGAATAAAGTTAAGCAAGCAACACAAAAGAAATCTTACTAAATTCAAGCAGCAAAAAAAAAAGAAAGCAGAAAAAGAAAAAGGTAAACAGAGATAAGGCACTAAAGTGTGATTGCTCGACCGTTGTCGACACACTCGACTTGACGATGGCTTTTTTTTATAGCGGAGCGTTTAAAGGCTAGGTTTCTCAGGATCATGTCCACCAGCAAAGATATGATGACACTGAACTCTGGACAGCTACCACCATCGCGACCCCTTCGGTGCTTCCTTTCATGCTTCGTTCGCTATATGGAGTGTCCCCGCCATGGAAGTTTGATACAGAGAAACAACCCTCCTATACTATTACATGCGATTTTCAATGGGATGTTTAGACTGTTTGATATAAACAATAATTCGAAATACCCGGGTGTGATATAACCGAAAAATGAACTCCGAAAACACAGAATCCTAGATATAAGCGAACATTGCTGACTAAGACATTATCTGCGCTACACTGCCCCTTGCTGCGATAACAAATATGATAGGGACACATATACTGAAAATAGCATTTTTTTCAACTTTTATTGATTGCACTGTGAAAGTTTGCCCACTCCTCATTTTCACACGATTTGTGCTAGATTTGAGGTGGGCTATCTCTCAGGATATTTTAGTATACCTCTCATGTTCAGAAATAAGTTGAATGTGATCAACAGTATCTGCTAATGACAATCACACGCTTGTATTTTGAACGGGTGAACGGCTGAAAATGGCAGCCATTTTCGGCAGTCAGGGAAGCACTCATCGGAGAGTTGGATGTGTCACAGGAGGTTGGGCACATTTGTGACGTCAATTCTCTCAGCATGGGAAAGGTCTACGGTGAGGCTGGCGGGGTTGTGAGCTTGGCCACTTCATGGCGTCAATGCCTTGCAACCTAGCCATTGGTGATAGCCGAGGGCTGAAGCAGCTCGACGCCTGCACTGAGCAGATGCGGGAACGGGCTGGGAAAGGGGGGTCTCATTGTGTCTCTGTGGAGGGCTCGCCTATACCAACTATCAGGCTAAGTGATGGTTCAGCAGAGGGCGCCGCTTTGTTGGGACAGGTGACCTAACAATATTCACCAGGTGCACTTTGGTAATCGTTTGATTCGTTTTAAGTGAAGATTTTTATGTCTTGTTCAACAAAACTCCGGTGTCTTTGTGGTGCTGCCACAGCATGGTCGGCACTTAGACAATAAGATAAGCTCTAGAATTTTGTTCCCCTTTAAAGGCACTCTTTTTTTTTTGTTGCAGAAGATGCTTATTGGATTGGCACGGGATCTTCGAGGCCTGGTGTTTGCCTTCAATACCAAGACTAGTTACATGATGCTTTTTGAATGGATGTATCCTTTTTAGAACAGCTGCCATTTGAAAAGGATGAGCTGATCAGTCGAACATGACTGCTTGTCAGCTTGCCTGGGAATCTAAACCAAGTTCAAGTTTAAAGCTATGCTAGACTAACACTTTCAATCCCCACAAATTCCAAATTGTAGTCCCAAGAGATTATATACTATTTAAAACTTGCTCCTGGCAAAGTACCTACACGTGTACTTATTTCACTCGATCTAGATTCTAGAGCTTAGAAGGCATCATTGTGTCTTGAGCAAAAAGTTTTCTTTGTGGGACTCTTCTATAGACCAACACGCTGTTTAAAAACAAGCCCGCGTTTTCCCACACCAGGTGTGGGCACTGCACGTGCGCAGAAACCGAATTTGCGTGAAGTGAAGCGTCTGCGCATGCGCAGTGCCGTCGGCAGAGCGCCACCACTGCTTTGTGACGTCAGGGCCCTGTGTTGGTCCATACTCCGTTCACCACTGCAGCCAAGGCTTCATGTGCGAGCTAGCCTGTGCTCCTTTATTTGAGACATGCATTTCTAACACGAGCACTCGTTCTGCGGAAGAATGCTTCAAAGCAGCGACCTTGAGCTCTCGAGCTTGTGGCATTTGCTACAGTCTCAGCTTAAGAGTGAACGGAGTGTACTGTCCGTTTAAAGGGACGCTGCATGCTTAAAAAACCCTCTTTTTATAGGGGTGTGCGAATATTCGTGTTTCGAATTCGAATCAATGAATGATGGTCTAATATTTCGGTTAGACTTGCAAATTTCTCGTATTAAATTTAAAAAAAAAAAATTCAATACATTGAATATTAGTACTACTGGCAAACATCCGAATTTATTCGGGAACGTTTTCATATGATGAAATAGTCATCAGATGCCTGTGTTGAGTCTAAATCAAGCCCGCATTTAAAAGCCTTGATTAGGGAACCATTTCGACAGAAAGTAGTTGTTTCTTAAGTTCCTCGAACGAAGCAGTCGTGATCTGAACTTCTTGGATGACCTCGACGGAAAAGCGTAAACTACATACGTCGTCACTTTTAATTAAAAGATTTTTCGCCTGCAACCAGCTCTAAACATTTTATAAGTTTATTCATGTTAGTTAAGTTCAAATATGATGAACTATTAGTATTGTGCAGATATTTTTAATAGTAGTTCTGAATAATACAGTTTGCGATATTCACTTCAAGGTGAACTGCAGTATTCTTTTTTTTCGAAATGTTGATCGTGGCAGGTTGGCCCCTTTGAGTATGCTTTTTAGCAAACACGGATGCCCTGCAGAGAAGCAACACCCACAGAAGCGTGCTTCGCAGGGGTTTGCTTCTTCGCACTCCATTGGTGCTCGGTAAGAGGCGCACTAATTGGGGTAACCCACCGCAATCAACACTTGGAAAAAGTATGAATATCGCACTTGTGTGTTCGGGAGAAAAGCGCACATTCAAAGCAGGATGGTGCACACGTGCACCTGGTGTATTTAAAAAGAAACAAGCTTTGTGAATGTTGATATCTATGTTTGAGCAAAATTTTCAAGACTGTGGCTGTTACGCAAGAGTATGTGTTAGGCATAGATGCTCTGACAACCTGCATTCATCATTCGCGATACTTTTTTTTTTCCATTTTAGATGGAAGAAAGAATATTTGTTTAAAGCAAGGTTTGTAAATCCAATCAATTTCGATTAAATATAGCTGGGCTTCTCTACAGGTTTCATTTTACTTCAAATCCGTGGTTTACTTGCCATCCCAAGGCATCAGACTTTCTGAGGTCACAGTCCATAAATATAGTTAGATTGAAATTAGCTTATAAATGGAGAAGTGGAAGCTTGGAAACAAACTTCACGAGGTTCACCTTGGTTTTCGTTTAAGCATGGTTCAACTGTAATGAAAGGCTTGGGAAAACTATTTGATATTCAATTCTCAAATAGTCGGCCAATAGTCGGCTATGGCAACACTCGCTTGGTGGCCAGAAGATCCTAGTATGACTTAACGACTGATCGGAGGTTTTTCGCGTTTTCTCGCGTTTAATGACATCTTCGGGGAAGACAAACATGATATTCAGATTTTTTGGGTAAACATACCCTAGAATTCACCTCTAGTTCATTTTTTTTTTTCAAGAACATCTCAGCTTTCCTTTAAACTGGTACTCAAGTGATTTTTTTGAGCTACCCGGACTAACTATAATTTTGGAATCACCGGCCTTTCCCCTTTTGAGTATGCTGTATAGTACTGTGAAATTGAAAATAGTTATTTTGAAATAGGCAAGTGAAACGAAAACCAACATTCAAATATACGTGCGTTTTTCAGTGCCGTGATGTTGGGGGAAGGCCGGCTTGCCGGTCGAGCGGGGCAGTCTAGAAATGAACTATGCTGAGCATTTGCTTCGTGCTGCTGCACGGGTGCTGAAGCGAGCTTCCAAGGCATTAATTTGACACCATCAAACTGCTTTTAATCAGTTGGGAACAGTGTCCATAGAGTGAACCCCCCTGCCTTCCCCTGACGTCACTGTTTCATTCTTGCCACTTTCACTTTAAAAAACACGGTGAGGACCAAAATTGTAAATTCAATAACTTTGCGAAAAAAAATTAATTTTAGTCCAATATTTGGGTTACTATTTCAGCTATGTTTGTTGCTGTGTTTAGCAAATTTTCAGGCAAATCGGGGGCTATAACGAAATAGCCACAAAAAAGAAAAAAGTTTTTTTTTTAATTTTTTTATGGCCCTTTTTTCTTTGGGGGTTTAAATTTGTTATGAATTTAATAATTTACACAAAAAAACACAGAATCTCTAGGAGAAAATTAAACCCCGAAAAAAAACAAAAAACCCCAAATTTCGAGAAACAAAATAAACTCCCAAAACGCAGAATCCTATTTGTAAGCAGTCTCATGTGTGTGAACCAGACTTAATACTTCCCTCTGGTGGCATGCTGTCATACCCGCTTGCCCAAACCACCTTCTTTTTCTTTTTTTTTAAGAGTATAAAAAAAGAGAGGAGAAAGACAATCACATTTTTCCCTGTGACCGGATTGCCCTTGTTTCCTTGCCTGCTGTCCCACAAAGCTGGTGGGGTTTTCGGGATTTTTATTTTTATTTTCTCGTGCGCTTTGCAACCAAAAAATGGCGTTTTTTTTTTTTTTTTTTTTCCGGCATTGTAGATAGTTTGCACTTCACCTTTTTTGTTTTCTTCTAATCTAAAAGGTAATTGCCTTAACATTTTGTTCTCGACGTTTTAGAAAGTGTGCCACGCCATTGCCGAGGTCGAACCCATGCAGAGCTCTAGTCCCTATACTTTATCCGCAGCTCCGTCTGCATTCCATCTTGCGGCGTAAATATTGCATTAACTATTCCTTTTTCGTGGAATATGCATTTTGCGACATGTGGCCTATCCAGGTAGTGATATGTAATTATCACAGTTCCCTGTTTATAGTTTGTGGACTATACATCTCTAAAATTTTAAATTCTGCATGACGTGTGCCATCTACAGGTGCAGACACACGAATGCGTTTTTTCTGATAGTTCAGTATGACGAGGCATGATGAATTTTGTGAATGGCGGAGTAGGTATGCTAATGATTTGTGTATGATACAAACTTTTTGTGAGCTAGTAATGCAGATATTTTTCAAGGTGTGCTGTGTGTGAGAATTTTTTATGTGCAGACTCAGCACCAGGTGCACACTATGCATCGGGTGTGGGCTATAGTCTGGAAACTCTGGTAATACTCTCTGCCTGATTTGTCTCCTTGACGGAGAGAACAGCTACCCAACCTACTTTCCAATCCTGCATCGAGCCCTCGAGCTTTGGTACCATGACCCCTGTGTGAGCACGCCAGTGCTCAAGTTGGTTGCAGAGCTTGTTCAAAACCGATCGCAAAGGCTGCATTTTGATGTCTCTTCGCCAAACGGCATCCTTCTCTTCCGGGAGACTTCCAAGACTATGGTTCTTTATGGTATGTTTGCCCTCAGATTGCTTGTCGCCATCCTCTCACTTTTTTGTCTGCCGTTTCAGGCACATGCATCTTGACGCTTGGCCAAATTCCCAAGGACCAGGTGTACAAGCTCAAGTATCCTTTCTTTTCACGAGTTTGTGTTGCCTTCAGTTGAGCATTGCAGGGCCCCTAATGTTGCGAAGCAGGTTGGGAAAGGCAGCATTGTGAATTGTCAACTAACTTTTTAAAGATTTCTCAAATTATCAAAATGTGCTTAAACTTGATTTGATAAACTAGTCTAGATTTGAGATTTTCACCATATTTGCTTCATTTTGTTTGTGAAATTTAGTTTACTAGTATACCCTGTTGGCAGGATAAGCTCCTCCTGCAAAGCCTTTTACTCTTCGCTTGAGTGAGAGAGAATGCTAGTCGACTTGCCTCTTCTTCAGCGTTTGCTCGCCGTAGTACAGTGCGATCCACTTATAATGATACCACATATAACGATGTATTGCTTATAACGGTCAAGTTCTAGGGTTTCTTTTCTAGAAACTATCAGATTCTAGTCTAGATACAACGATAATCGGTTATAACAATTGAAATTTTGGGTTTTCTCGTTATCGTTATAAGTGAATTGCCCTGCAGAAAGAGTGGATGGCTTTGTGGAAGGTGCTTGTCCTGCAACAGGGTCTAGTGAACATTCATAAATTTGTCAGTCCAATTTCCAAAATTCTAATTTAACCGTGGCCTCTGGCAACATCGGTGCAGTAATATATCTTTCGTGCCTGCTGATGCTGACGCCGATTCCCTCCATTGTAGTGTGGCAGAATGTGTCGCGGCAAAAGGGTGTGCTGTTCTGCCACAGTGCTATACGAGTCTGCCAGGCTTTACCCAGCGTACCATGCTGCATTGAGCTTTTCCTGATTTCCGGTTCAGGCTGAAGGGCATTGCCATCTGCTTCAGCATGCTCAAGAGTGCACTCTGTGGAGGCTACGTCAACCTGGGTAGGCATCTGTCCCCCCACTGACAGTGTATGTCATCCTAACGTTGGGGCCACCCCTTCTTGTTCATTTGGTTGCCAGGTGTTTTTTCGTTGTATGGGGACACTGCACTGGATGACGCCCTGGGAATCTTTGTCAAGCTTCTGCTCTCCATACCTCAGTCTGACTTGCTGGTGAGTGGCATAGCAAGTCTGGCACATTATGTGAATGCATGCTTGTTAAATGGTTACTAGTGGAGCCCTATGCATGCCTGAAATGAAGTCCCGCATGAAACCTAGAGAACATTGGTCGGTGCGCCAGTTTTTGAAGCATATGGCCGGGAGTGATTGCTGTTTTTAGTAGTGGTGACTGATCGTAGCTGTGCATCTACAGAAGTTCTGGTGAGCTTTTTGGAGTCTTGTTGAGAGATTTTACTGCATGGCATCTATTGTGCCTGCTCATGAAGAGAGATGCATGTATTGCTTCTTGGTCCACTCTCTGTCATGCTCTTGACTTCCTTTCAGCATTTGATGCAGTAGGGTGTTTGCACTTGATAGGGCTGTGGGCAGCAGGTGAGCGCCCAGAACTGGGACACCCGCATTAAAGGACATGAGAAGCACCTTGGGAACATGCAGCTCGTACATAACACTAAAAAAAGACCTGTTCTTGAAAGGTACTTTGACGCCTCAAGAGCTCTTTCAGCTCATGAGGAACGGTTTCGGTTCAAGCACTATCACCCTCTGGCGCACAGACAAGCAACTGGGCAATGAAGAACTCTTTCATATCAAAAAAGGAGCTTAAAAGAACCCCTTAAAGGTTTTTCACAAAGAACACTTTTAAGGGGGTGCTTAAAAGAAATTTTAAAAGTGCAAAATATGGATAAGCCGAATAACCCATAAGAGTCTTTTTCCGATCAGATTTTTTTTAAAGTGTAAGGCATTCTGCTGAGAATGCCATCCAGAGATTAGCATTCTTCTCACTTGGTGCATTTTTTCAACAAAAAATAGATTTGAAAAAAAAAAAAAATCTTTTTGCTTGATGGGTAAATTGATGGGTTATGAGGCAAATCATGGTGGCTTTGTACAGTCATGTTTTGTTAATAGTCACTTTTGCCCCAGAAAAATTGTTCATAATAATGAATCAAGGTCAATATCTCAAATAATAGACGAGTGTGGCCACAAAAGCCTTCATGCCATGGTCTCTGGCTGTTTCTGCTTCACACCTGACATAGTCTTGCCTCCTATGTGGCAAGGAAAGTGTCCTGCCTTTTCTTTTTTAGTACGCATGAGTTGTGAATGTTCTTGAGGCTTTTCATCCTTGGCCATCACACATAGAAAGATAGAAGGGCAAGTCACCGATTTGGCTGGAATGCTGCGCGTTAGCTTCTCTCCAGAACTGGAGATTGAAGCTAACGGAAGCACGCTGGGATTCCAATTCCCATGTATTTTGTCGATAAAGACAACGTGGGCGTTATTTTGTTTACATGACACTACTAGAAGCTGTTACATGGCGCGTAAACAGCATGTGGGTAAGAATCATGGCCCGAGCCCGGGGGGAGGGGGGGGGGAGGGGGGGGGAAGCACAAGCCCCCCCGTAGTTTACGCCTCTGGCCCCTGGTACCCAAAAGTTTTTCATAATGTTAAATACAATTCTGTGTCACGTTAAAAAAAAAAAAGAAAAATTATCTGCTTTTGCTTTAGTTTCTTTTAGACGCCACAAATACTTCGAAATGGCGGCCCGTGCTATGGTACCAATACAAGCAACGTTGAACTCGCCAAAAAGGGGTTTAATATTGTCTTTTCCGCTCCATAGCGACCCACTAAAACTTTCTAATATTGAATCCACCTTTGATGCCCTCTTACCTCAGGTGGTTGTTGGGAATGTGTAAATATGAATTTCATACATTTTGCTGGCCGTCATGTTCTGCGAGTTAGGCACACAACAGGGCATTTTAGTAAATCGTTTTCAAAGGCCCACTGCCACTTCAGGCGCGCGCTTCAGAGAATGCATCGAAGTGGCAGCACGAGCTCCCGCTAAATATAGCATGGCCTGAAAACACAGTCCACTAAAGTTCTTCAATAATTTGTGCTCGCTGCTAGAAAAGAGAGACCTTCTACAAGATGCCCGCGCCTGGTACATCGTTTTCTTTTCCATCGATCCCAATTTGAGGCAGGTTTGAGCGTGATAAGCCGTTTTTATTTTTTAATATGGAATGTTTTGTGAAGATGTAAGGTCATCATTACATATTCAAGTCATTACATCTCGCGCGTGTCTTTTGAGCTCCTTGATCAACCAAGAATATCTATGAAACGTTCCTTCAATGGGTGCGGGGATGCATCGCAGCTCCCAAGTATGTGTTTACTTTGCCACGGGCTAAGTCACACAACTTCGACAGCTCAAATTCGGTGACTGCAAGGGCGCAGCCTTGCAGCTCCGTGAAACCCCCACCCAAGGGGCTAGGTTTGGCGACAGCCAAAAAATAAGGCAGATTACGCGATAAGAGCTGAAGATACCTGTAAGTCACAAGGTCGCTGCTGCCGCACCCATTGCCCGTCGCTCAGAATGGGGATTTTTTCGGCTTATCCTCTAAGAAGAAGCCGGCGTGTAAGGGAACCTTTCCCCTCGCCTCGCCGTGCTACAGTACAAGAAAGAAAGAGGGCGAGGAGGACTTTCCACCAGGCGGAAGAATATTTCTGCTGGTCCCCCTTTAAACATCAGCAGATACCGAAACCGAAACTTTGGTTGCGACAAGCAACATTGATTTTGTGTCGTCAGAGTCATGGCTACGTCACGTCGAACCACGTGATCCGAAAGGTCACGTGATCCTTCATGTGACGGCGGGCGAACGTAGAGCTTAGCGCTATAAGTGTCGTCTGCTCCACAGTTTTCTCCAATGTAGTTTGCTACCTCATCCAATGACGTCTGCAACACTGCGGCCCCAGCTTGCGCTTCGGGTTAGAATCTCGACGGAGGTGACCGCACTTTGACGCGGGCTTATTGCTGCGAAGGCGTCGTGTAACCGAGGTCTCGGTTGCACGTCACAAGATCCCCAGGTGGTCCAAATTAATCATCAGGCCTCCGCTTGGGCGTTCGAGATGCCCTTCGTAGGTTCGGCACTTAAAGCTCCAACTTCACATTGATTTTACCGAAAATAGCTGAGTCTTCACGTCTGGTTTCTACAGGCACGATACATATACGCTCGTACACTGGGAAACGCCCGGCACGTAGTGCGACCGACACGGTGGTCGTTTGACCGTGCATGTGTCTCCTGCTTTAGTAGCGTGAATTGTGTACCTTTATGAAGTTGTACGGCAGACTACATGTTTATTGTCAATAGCAAAATAGTCAGCGAAAGTAATGAATGCCGTGAGAAGTAGCAATGAAGAAACGGTTAAAGTGCAGGTGAGCTGGTGTAAGTTATACATGATGATTGAAAACCTGAGACTGTGGTTTGAAAAACGGAAACTCGTGAAGTAGAAAGAAAAAGGGACAGACAACGTCTCAAACTCAGCTAAAAACTTTATTGCCTCTAGGCCTTATATACACCTCCCCCGGACGTCGAACGTCGCCACTACCACAACGGTTGATCACTGAACTACAAACAATACATCGGAATGACAATACACCGAACCGCAAACAATACATAAAAAACAAACAAAAAAACCCGTTATACAAACCGAAACACAAGATCGTCATCACCGCACCTGGACCGATACCCGCAGTCAACAATTATTGAGTATAATGAACGGATGTACGTACAGCAGGAGGGTGTCTGTATGAGCTCGTCGGTCGCGCCGCTTGTGGTCGAGTTTTATCTCAACACCCTAGACAGAGTTGTGGTTGAGAAGATGAGAGAGTTGCCCCCAGATGTAGGTTTTTGTTCGAAGATATGTAGACGATATAATTGTGTGCACTTTTCAAGATAACCTTTCGGATTCTCTACAAAATGTAATAAGTTCAGCGGCCCCTGAGCTGCGTTTCACTGTGGAAAAGCCGGAGGAGAATGTCATTGAATTTTTGGATTTGTGCATTCATGTGGACAGTGGGCTGTGTTGAGAATATGGGAAGCAGGCGCCAAAACCCGTCCTATCGAAGCAGAGTTGTCATTCTAAAATTGTAAAGGCAGGGATAGTGAAGTCTCTGACCCAGAACGCTTTACAAAGGTCACGCATTCATTACATGAAGCAGTCTTTAAAAAAACAATGGGGAAGATTGGAGAGGGCCGGCTATCAAGAATCCTTCATGAAACGGCAGCTTGCTATACAGATCGAAGATAAGCAAGATAAGCGGAGTGTCAAGAACCGACGGGCTGCCATTCTATATTTTCACTCCATTTCACATGACTTGAAGGCATGTGCAGAGAGATTTGAGGTTAACACCGTTTTCACATGTGATTTCAAATTAACTAAACTGACTCCTTTTGAGGCAGGACAAAAAGATTGTAAAAAAATGCATCGTGACAGATCTGTTCCGTGTGTCAGTGGAGTAGTGTATGAAATTCCTTTGGAATGTCAGACTGCAAGGTGCATTAACGATAGGTTGACAGAACATAAACGGAATGTGCGGATTAACGCTTCAAACTCTGAACTAGCGAGGCATCTCCAAGAGTGCATGCATGCATGTACAGAGCACTGGTCAGAGACAGAAATCGTACATAAAGAGCGCGAGGAGATGAGACGTGTTGTGCGAGAAACTGTTCGCTTAAAAACATCGGGAAATTGCATTAGCCAAGCGTCACTGTAAATTGGAAGTGAGTCAAAAAAGTTTCTTTGACTGTAAAGACCTAGTGTGGGGTGAACGTAAAAGGGGAGGGGGCTGCTTCGCTGTGTTGTTTGCATTGTTGGGTTCGGGATCGCAATGGGGGGCATTGTTGGCGACTGTGTGTGGTTCATGGTTCAGTTCAGGGGAAAGGGGGTAAGTTAGAGACAGTCTTTTTGTGTTTCCAAGTGCTGGTGTTACATTGTCTGCTTCGAAAACCTTCCGGGTGCGGTGGTGACCACCTTGTGTTTCTGTTTGTATAATAAGGTTTTTTTGTTTTTTTTTATGTATTGTTTGCGGTTTGGTGTATTGTCATTCTGATGTATTGTTTGTAGTTCAGTGATCAACCGTTGTGGTGGTGTCGACGTTCGACGTCCAGGGGAGGTGTATATAAGGCGTAGAGGAAATAAAGTTTTTAGCTGAGTTTGAGACGTTGTCTGTCCCTTTTTCTTTCTACTTCACAAGTTTCCGTTTTTCAAACCACTGTCGCAAGTTTTCAATCATCATGTGATAAGTATGCTCCAGTGCACATTCATTTGGTTTTACAGCGGAACTGATCTTTTTACGCACGTTTTGCTATTTAGCTGGTAACAGCAAATTAGTTAGTGTCAAGAGCACAAGCAATCGGAACAGATCCTTGTTCTGCGATTTGACTTCCCGGAGTTCCACCGGCACGGGATGTTTCTTCATACATTCAGAGGCGCACTGTCGTGTGAAAACTTATGAAAAACAACTCCCAGGCTGGTCAACTGGTAGTTCAAGCAGGCATCTACACAACATCGTGAGCCTATGGATCTTTCGCCAGGCATCGCAGCCAGGCATCAGAGATGCAGCCCGCGCCCATACCGTAAACAAAACGTTGTTCTCTACAACAGCGGTGCGCAGGGCAGTGCAAACTAGCGCATCCGGGTTACGGTGATCACGTGGGCACCGTTGAGCCAATACCGGGAGGAGAAACTCATGACGTCATTGTTCAATTTCGCTCTGAGAAGTAAAAACAAACAAAAAACGTGAGAATGACATAGACATGACTCTGACGTAATGGCTCAATGTTGGCTGCTTCAACTCGGTGGCATTGACTGCGCTGATGATTGCGCCTTACGTCACACGCTAGAGTGTGCAGATTTCGGCGACTTGGCTCATTTGAAAGTTTGCTGGCCAGTTTATTAAATATATAGACGGAATTAGATCGTAATATCTGACATCTGGTCTTCCTAGATGATACTGAAGAGGGCTGCATAGTTTCCTCAATATGAAAAATGAAGCGGAGTTAAAGGGGAACTCCGCCGATTTTTTGGTAGACTTCAATTTGGCTGGAAATTTGCAGGCCGCATCAATAACCCTTTCTCAACTGATAACCAAAATATTTTCTAAAAATACAAATTTTCCATGAAGTTATTGAATTTTCAAGTAACGCCGGCTGAGAAGGTTCCAGGAGGCGACTCTCTACTGGCAACAATGAAAAATTCCTACTTTTCCCTACCCGCGTACATCACGGGTGGGCAGGCGGACGAGCGACTCGGGCAGCCGCAAAGTGGCTTTCAGGGCGCCAGCGATCGAGATAATTTTTTTTGCAGCTTCAAGGTTGAAAGTTTCTTTGCAGTGGGTAGCAATCTGTGCTCCGTGATAGATTAGAAAATGTGCAGAGAAAAAGCTTCTTTTCTACCCTTGTTTTCGTGGAAGAAAAAAAAAAAAAAAAAGCGTTGCCCCGGCAGCAATTGATGCCAGCCACGTCAAGGTGTTTTTTTGCGAGTTGTGTGCCGAGAGAATTAGTGTCACGTGAAACATTCTCACTTATGCTCGGAATACTTTATAGCCACGTGCTGCAAGTTGAGTATCCTTTTCAAGAGCGGCAAATGCAAACTCAAGCTGGCTGTGACCACTACGACATTCGTCCAAAGAAGCGCGCTAATAATATCTAGAAAAATAGTACACAATCTAGCACTATGGTCGGCATTTTTCACACTCAGATTTGTCATTCACAATTGGTTCAGTGATTTTTTTTTTAAATTTTTTATAAACACTATTTCTGTTTCGGACGTCGAATCTAGCTCGGGCTTCTCTTGGAGTTCCACTCACGCGGCCAATATGTTGAAAACGAGAAGTAAAATGTCTAAACACAGTTCAAGTCTGAATTTAGACATGACTTTCGACATATTGCTATTCCTGTCTGCTATTACAGAGGTTTATGGAGCAGGTGTTGAGCTCCATTAATATACGATAGAGCCTTTGCCTGGTTTGTCAAATGGTTGGCGTGCAATATTCTTTGCAGAAGAAGTGATGGAAACGTCTTTAGTTCATTTTTTGCGGAGAAATTTTGTGTAGGCTGAAAAGTTTTTTTTAAACCATAAAAATATTAATGTCGTTGAGAAGAGGCATGCAAATTTACACCTGTTGGAAACTGCTAAACCTAAACTTGATTTAAAAAAAGAATCATATAGAATTACCACCTTCCCATGTGCTGTCGTGGATGGGTGTTTGAACGCGTTGCATTCTACTCCAAAAGTTAAAAATAAAAAATACGGGTACACATTTTTTTAGGTACTTTTGTAAACTTATTTTGAATTAAAAGTTTTATGATGTCTTTTTGTACCTAACTTATTGTATCTACAAGCAAATATTCTTTATTTGAAAATGAACAGTGTATTTGTGTATTTTATACGCATTCCATTGCACCTTGATGTTTGGCTTGGTGTTTGCAGAGTTCTTTTAATTGTTGTTTTAACACAATCTTTATGACCAGTAACCTGCCATCTGATCTACACGAATGCAGTTCATACCATTCTATACATTTCATTGTTTACAAGAATCAGTCTACATGTGTTAGGTCCCAGCCCAGCACGCACATGTTCGTCGCTTTGGAAGGCGAGCAATGTACGCGCCACACGCACGAACGCTGAAAATGGCATAGACTAGAAGTGCTTTTCAGAAATAGTCTATGGATCTTTTGCTAAATTACTTAACCACCAAGGAGCATATTTATGCCACAAGAGTAGTTACACGTGCTGGTGCCTGCAACAGTAACTTTTTTAAAGAAAATCTAAAACAAATGGCACATTCCTTCAGGTTATACGAGCGTGTGGGGCATCTGTACCCACATTCCGAGTATTTTCCGTGGTGCTTTGGCGATTTGTGAAAACATGTATTGCGTGACTTTTCTTCCTTTCTTTGCCAGCCATCTTATAATAAAATAGAATGGATTTACTAGCGATATCACGAAACTAGCGAGCCGCGGCTTTAGCGTACAAAGTTCCAAAAATGGTTTTATCAAAATTTCAATTGCTCCTTTTTTTTTTTACTTATAGTTTAGCACGTAGGGCAAGGTCATACTTTGTGCAAATATAGATAATTATCAACTTCAAACAGCACGAATGCCCAGGTTTTCTCGCTGTTCAACGCGAGAAAGGTGGGCGCAAGCGTACCTGATGGCCGGCCGCGCGCCTCGCTGCCCACCCGTGACGTCACGCTTGGGGGGCGGGGAAAACTGGGGAGAAACTAGGGAGAACAATGTTTCGGTTTCGGCAACAAACAAAATATCACTTTTTTTAATTAACTAGAGTGAATCTGGGATAACGGGATAGCATTTTGGAATCAGGAAGCCATCCGCATTCAGATTATGCCTTTGGATTAGGTAGCTCGAAAAGTCGGCGGAGTTCCCCTTTAAGCAAAAGGAACGGCACCTAGCCGAAAAACCCTGAACTGGCCGGAACAGATCCTTTCGCGGTTTCCGCTGGTCTCTTGTGGTTTCCGTAATTGCATGTTGTCGATGGTTTGCGTGATGGCCCAGTGACTGTCGTAACTGTAGTATCAGCTTGTTCCCAGGTTGCTCTGCACGCAACCTACGCAGTCGCGGCATCCAGGCATTTCGCTTTTATCAGCATTCATCAGCGCCGTGGAAGGACAGTCAGCAGTCCTTTCATCGCTTCCTCGAAGAAAGCGAAGCCTCTGGAAGCTCGCTTATGCCTACACATCGCTGTGGGTTCGAAACGTGGAGGATAAAGAGTGGGGCAAAGCATTTTGAGTCCAATGGTTGCTTGCTGATGCCCCAGCATTGTGCGTTGCGGTTGCACATGGCATAGCACGACCTGTAGTAGACCGCCATATTCGCCAGATAGTGGCCTCCCCTATATGTCGCTGGAGTCGCGAATATTGAAGGGACAGGTCGGTATATCAAGGTTATAGAAATCTGTTTGTTTGTATCTGCTTGCTCGGGAACTTTAATTTGGAAGAAATCTTGCTATGGAACTTTCATTCGGAGTGTTCCTAGACAGGCATGTCTATTGGAAAGAGCTTGAACCAGTGCTTTGGATGGTGAAGTTTTTGCTTTTTTATTTCTCAGGACTACCCCAAGTTGAGTCAGGCATACTACGTTCTGCTGGAGTGCCTGGCACAGGACCACATGCATTTTCTGAGCAACCTGGAGCCACCAGTGTTCCTCTACATTCTCTCCTCTGTCTCTGAAGGGCTCACAGCTTTGGGTGAGTAGTTCTTCCCTGAATGCTGCTTAAAGGGACACTGACAGGGTATTTATGCTCGCCAAGCTTTTATTTCTACATGATGTATGTGAGTCTAACTACCCAAAACACAATTTGCGGCTCAAAATAAGATTTCTTTCCGCCCGAAAACCGCCGATCGAGAACTGGCCGGTTTGAGTCGCACTCACTCTCTTTTCCGTGGTCACGTGCCATTCTCTACGGTTTGAACACACATTCCAAATATAATCAGTCATGGGTCATCGAAGGCACACATTCAATATAAAAAAAAGAAAAAAATATGATACCCATTTTTTGTGGCTTCTAAGAAGCTGCAAATACGTTATTTGAAAAGAAGAAAAAAAAAAAGTTGCACAGAGAATTGGAAGCATTCTGCATTCTCTGTGTAATTCTCAACATGACGTCGTATTTCGGAAGTCGCGGGGTAGATGGCTGAACAAAGCGGACTAAGCGATGGCGGTGGGCGACGGGGTGGACCTCTACTTAAGAACTGTCGTTCGCGGTCCCAGCGAATCTCTCTGTCTTTGAAAGAAAAATTGTTTATTGATCAAAACAATCGGGATTTATTTTGTACAACACGCCCAACCACCAAACTGATTCGCACAAAGAGGTCGCCGAGTCATCGCCCCTTCTCCTGGCTGAAGACGTTGCTTGTCTTACGGACAAGTATTGGTAAGAGCTTGAAAAACGCACAAATGTCAAGCAGAAAGTGGTTGGCTTTCGAGTTTTTTGTGCGACGTGGGTGTTTTTCGTCTGCTTCGCACAACCAAAAAAACCAAATAAAAAATAAAACGTGGTTGGGTGTAGCCATGTGATTTGCAACAACTCTCTCCTCTTTTATATTTCTTCCTCTCCAGTCCCTCCAGTCCAATTTCGGTTTCGAGCAGTTGCATTTTTTTTTTTTTACTTTATTAAAAATATATGTGACACTGTCAAAAAATTGAATGGGTAGTCTTCTGACAGCGTAATAAATTGCCTGGCAAAAAAAAAAAAAATATATATATATTTTAGGGGGCCCTTTTCCTCTGTTTGCAAAAGAAACTGCCTCCACCCACTTGCGAATGGGCGGAGGCAAACGAGGAGAGGCCACAAACTAAAATGGATGACTATTGAATGGTAGACCCTCAAAGTTTATGGACCCCATACTTTACACCATGGGTTCTCAAACTGGGTTCCTAGGAACCCAGGGGTTACCCAGAGTACCCTTGAGGGTTCTCCAAGCCCAAAAACTTTCTCGACCATCTTTGCCCTTGCGTAATGCTTTTTTAAAAGATTTCTTTGTCTTCCCTTCCTTACACTACTCTGTAATGTCGCCCACTGAGACATAACGATGGAACAATTACTCCCTGGTATGTGAATCATTGTTTAGAGGGCATGTGGGCTTCTGCACTGCTCTATAGAGTGGCTTTAGGTGACCTAATTTTAGCTCCAAATCTTGCTAGGCCATGTTCATGAATATTTTCCCCGTGTCTTTCTATGCTCGGAGCCAGTTTTCTGCGGCTTGCTCAAGTCCTTTTGCATCACGATCGACCGTGCCAGCCACAGTAGTTGGGAACAAAAAATTAAACTCGTTTACAATTCTCTGTGATACGAAATTAGAGCGCAGCTCTTGAGAAGGAGGGCAGTGTATGCCTCTCCTCCCCCTTCATACCCTCCCCTCCTCCTCTCCTCCTCCCCTCCCATTTAGCGGGAAATTTTTGTTAAATTTAGCGGGAAATTTAGCAAAAATTTCCTCGCTAAATTTAATGGGTTAAGTGTCTCTTCTAAATTTAGCGGGGAAATTGACGTCGGGTGACCTGAACGGCAGTTCACTTTCCCCGCTAAATTTAGCGGGGAAACTTTAACTTCCCATAATGCAGTGCATGCGGTTACGGCGACGGCTCTCAACCTGGAACCGGGTGCCTAAGAGCTGCGCTTTAAAAGTGCATCGTCTGGTACTTGATTCTAATGCATTCCAGTTTTTATTCGAACTTGAGCTCGAAACGAGCAGGCGTTTGAGTAGTTGACTTTTTGCTGGCCAAAATGGCCCCAGTAGGTGCCGCCGGACTGACTCGGAAAGGAAAAGCTGAGTAAGCATAGGTTTATGCAACCCCAAATGCGTCCCCGGTCATACTTTTGTTTAGTCGTTGACAGGCACTCGCTGTGCTTGTTCCGTTTCACTGGCACCAAAAACAATGCCAGTAACTGGTCATCTGCATGTAAACAAAAATGGAAAGTGGCAGACTCTGTTCATCCAAATGGCGGAACACTGCTTATCGGAAGTGAAAAGGCATCTGGTGATACCACCCGATTGCATTGGTGCTGAGATTGGGAGGGGCTCCATGGCTGGCATTCAAGGTAAATAAGGCAAATAGGGGTTCCTCGAAATGGAAAAGTTTGAGAAGCTTTGCTTCACACAACCATTAGCCAGTTCCAACGTTTGAGCACGATTGTCTCGGTCATAACTCGATGGCGACATGAGAGTGCCAAGCTGAGAAGTGTGGCGGCCAGAACTGGTGCCGCTGTTGCAGGTGCTTTAGCAATGAAAAGACGCTGTTTCCTTGCAGACACAATGGTGTGCACGGGGTGCTGTGCCACCCTGGACCACATGGTGAGCTTCCTCTTCCGGCGCCTGTCCAAGGGCAGCTCTAAAGGCCCACCAGAGCCCTGCCTTCGTGTCCTGGAGCTACATCCAGAAATCCTGCAGCAGGTAATTGCCCATATCCCTGGACACTGGGAACTGAAAAACAAAACTGAACAAAAACACTGAAAAACAAAACAAAATTTAAACAAGATTTAAAAGTAAATTAAATTAAATTAATTTAAAAATTATTTGATTTACAGTCAGATCTATTTGTTTTAAATAGGATTAATTTGATTTAAATCACTAGCTATAAAATAAGGCTTCTTAATCACTAAATGTATTTTTTTAAACATAACAGATTAATTAATCATTTTGCCCAATCACAAAAAAAATTGGAAGACAGTTTTATTGTAAATTTAAAGTTCAGTTTAGTAAAAACTTTTTATTGAGTAAACCCCGCCATCCGCCACAGTAAAAATAAAGAAAATGGCGTGATTTTTTTTCAGTTAGTGTAAAAGCTTTATTTGCTCTTTCTTTTGTGTTCTCATTTTCTTGCAATAGGACATTACTTTTCTAGTGTCTTATTTACTTGCAGTAGAATGTTATGTAACTGACAAACGAAGTGGATGGTAGAAAGAAAGCTCAATGTTCCGATGTGCTAAGAAGACCGACGCTTTGTGTTCCTGTTCAGCCCGATATGAATCTTTCTTGTTGGATGATTCCTTAATTTAAATACAAAAGAAATGCACAAAAAGAAGCATGAGATGGTAGAGAAACGGTAAATAAAAAGCTACTTTGTGGAAAATTTTTGCAGGAAAGCTTTGATTTAAATTATTGTGGTAAAACTGGTCCGATTTAAATCGTCTTCATTTTTATTTTCTACCCTGGCTGTGGGGCACTGTTCTGTCCAAGACCTCCCACAATGAACAAGCTCTCTGCTTTCTTTGGGTGATCTGGCACAAGGTTGCTAATGTTCATAGAAGCACTGGCACTGGAACAACCTCTTCTGGTGTTCTCAAGCTTAATTTTGGCCCATGACGTGTTACTGCAGTTTACACTTCAGTTCTGCTGTTTCTATTCTAATGGAAGGTTGAACTCATGTTGGGTCGTGTAGGGGCCTTTATTTTTAATTTTTTTTGGGGGGGGGGGGGGGGGGGGGGGTGGGGGTGGATTGGGGAATTTCAGTTTAATTTGGCAAACTTGTTCTTAGAAATCGGAATTAAGTCTAGAGACATCATTGCCTCTGCTTTTTCCGTTCTCTGAAGTTTAGTATGTCCCCTGAAGATGTTCCAATTGTCTGGATTTTTAAATTTACTATTGAGTCCATGAGAATAGTACTGGATATTGTTTTATGATCTAAATATGATCAAATCTGCAAATTATTGGAAGTCAACAATTGTGCTGTCGTTTTCACTCTTTTAACCTGGTCAATGATTATGTTTGGGATGTCAAATAGAGCCTAGGAAGACTATATTTTTACCCTCACAGATTGGCTGGTGTACTTGCAAGGTCTCCTAATTGAGATAGTTCACGAGCCGTGCCTGTCCATTTTGGCGGGCATGCCCGGTTGACTGGGCGGGTTGGGTGGCTGCAGATGCTGTCGACGATCCTGAACATCATCATGTTTGAGGACTGCCGCAACCAGTGGTCCATGTCGAGGCCCCTGCTGGGCCTTATCCTGCTCAACGAGGAATACTTTGGCCAGCTGCGTCAAAGCCTGGTGGGCAGCCAGCCAGTAGACAAGCAAGCCACCATGTCACAGTGGTTCGACTCGCTCATGGACGGTATTGAGCGCAACCTGCTCACCAAGAACAGGGACAGGTGGGTCCCTGTTCTTGCTCTGCTGCTGGTTCTGAGAGGCCTGCTGGGGAGTGGCTCTTCTATATAGGTGGAAAGTGTCGAGAGAAATCTGCTGACACACAAAATTGGTGGGGTGGACGATTTGACGGGAGGTGCAGTGGATTCACAGTTCAAAGATCTTTTTACCTGCATCCATTTACTGAATGGGAGCCCCCTCCCCTTCTTGGCATGCTTGTAATGAGATAGTTGACAAGCTTCGAGGCTGTTAAACGTTTAAGTGCCAGGTTTTCTTTTTCCTAGATGTTGGACGGTAATTTTGGTCTCAGTAACGCTGTGCGTGCTTTGTGAAGGATATTTATTTATAAAAGACTATTTTATGAGAAGAAAGTTGCAGCTGCTTCACGAGTATGAAAGGTGCAGCTGCTTCACGAGAGCGCGCGCTCGGCTGCCACTTTCGTGGCAGGCGTTGCTGGAGAAAGGGTGGGGTGCTGCGGCCGCTTCACGGGAGCACGCGCTCGGCAATCTCGGCAGTAGCGAAATGTGGCCGTCCACGCCAGTACACTGCAGACGAACTAAGGGAGCGGAAGAACGACATTCATGCCTTCGCATTCGCAACTCTTAAGAAGTGCTTAGGTGTCCTCGGAATTTTTTTTCTATGGAATGCCCTGGAAGTTGGTTACCTGGGCACAGTCACTGGCTTTTGCTTTTGTAAAGCAAATTGCCATTCTCCTCGTCTTGTTCAGTGCGTTTTGAATGAGGTATTGTAGCACCATAGTGTGGTGACTCACTTGACCTTCCTTGCTTTGCAGGTTCACCCAAAACTTGTCAGTCTTCCGGAGGGATATCAATGACTCTCTGAAAGGTCCTGCCTCCTTGGATATGATGACATAGCACTGCATCTTGTGAAGCTGCCTCTGTTGCTGCTTCGAATGGTTTGAATGGTGTTTGTTTTAGAGCCAGCTTTTCCGGTTTTTTTTTCCCCCTTTTTAACACAAGCTCCGACCTGTCCAAGCTTCTGTTGCTTTTGGGCTTGAGTGTCTGGCTTGTACATTGAATTGAATGTACTGAGCTTTTTTGCTTCAATAGTTTTGTCTTTGCAAAGGTCCTGAAGGAACTAAATGACATTTTTTTGTGGGAGAGATTTTGGTCATAGATGTATGCTGCTGCTGGCATTGTTTATATGTGACAGTTCCTCTTGATTGTGTACATGATTTTTGTTTTCTTTGGAAAATGAAAGGGGAAATGGAGCACTGGGACTGTAGGTTTCTCATATTGTGTTGAGAGTATTTAAGTATTCGCCTGAAATGAATGTGTATATAAAGGTTGCATGTCGAGGTCGACAAATGCTAGTGAGGTATTTATTTGAATTGACCAGTTATAACCCTCTTAAAGAGGCATTAAATTTGTGTAGTTCGGTTTTTGTTGCAAAAACTTTTCATTCCAAGGAGCATGTGCTGATATTTTTTTACTCAGAAGTGTACATAAAAATAAACTGATGTAAATATTCTTGAGACTAGTCACTTGTGCATTGTGAACAGCGGAGGATCAAGTGAGCATCCTTCAAGAGCTTGTTCTCATTCGGACAAAGCTACCCTTTGATGTTCCAGCCAAATTTATTGTGGCATTAGAAAAAAAAAAAAAAAAACTTTTTTTTTTTTAATTTTTGGCATTAAATATTGCTCTGTATTCATTTTTTTTTTTTTCATTATGTTTTTGCTGTTATATGGTTGCTGCTTCACTGTGTGAAACGAGCCTGAAATATTGGTGCCTGCACATAGAATGCTCAAACTTTCACCGAATGTGCATTGAGGTGATGCATCTTAACTGGTGATATTTTAAGGCATAGTTCCTTTTTTGGGAAAAGTGGCACCAACAAACTTGTCAGGGTAAACGGCCAGACAGGTTCGCAGGCTACCGATTCTTGTGATGCATGGTGCCATCTCCTAATAGACTCATCGAGCAGATGATTGTATGTGTCGTCTGCTCGCTCCACCTATGGCACTACACATTTCAGGCATTGCCAATTTTGTCATCTTCAAACCCATCCATTGTTGACCTTGGCAAGTTTCTTGGTCTCATTTTGCACAGAAAGGGAGCTATGGCTTAAAATTTCAGCAGCTAGGCTTCACCACCTTAATGCACATAATGAAAGTTTGAACTTGCTATGCGCAGGCACTGATTTCTTCAGTTCGTTTTACAGTGCTGGATCCACCGTAGCCACTGTGTGCTGTTTCCAGTACAAGCTGCCACTTTTTAAAAAAGGAATTGTGGATGGAGGGTGTGAAACCTCTTCAAGAACAACGCTGCTGTAAGTAGAAGCTTGTGATGTGGGGAGTTTATTCTTGGCCAGAACCACTGCAACATTTTATTCAAAGATGAAACTTGCTCCTGTGTTATGCAACTTTTTATACATTTAGGCATCTTCTGTTTGCCACGGTTCCTTCGGTATGGCCTGGCATTTGTTTGGTCGCTTTCAAGAAAGTAGCTTAAATATGTAGTGGAAAACGTTTGATGACCTTCTGGTCATTCTGTGTGCCTTTCGAGTAAAAAATCGTGTTACGTCGCGTTCGTTCGTGTTTTGGGGAAGCCTGCAATGTACGGACGTGCTCGCTTCCGATGCGGCTCGAGTAGCGAGGGGGTGTGGAGCGTGGGTTGATGGTGCCGCCAGTGCCGCCGCCACACGGAGGGACGGAGGTGCGCAGCCGAGTTTCAAATTTTGCGCCGTGAGCTGACCCGTATAGCGACCGCCTCGGTGAATCCGGGACGCGGCAACAACTGGTCGGGCTACCACCGTGACCCCCGTGCTCATTCGCCGCCGCGTGCGTTTCTGGGACCCAGAGAACGCCTGAGACGCGCCTTTAGCAGCGCATCCCAAAAGAAACCGCCAGAGGCCGCTATTTCCGTTGTTTCACCACGTTTCATACTTCCGTCTTTGTGCGAGGGACTGTATTGTTGTGTTTAGAGGGGGGAAATAACTGGGGGTAGCCCGTGACTGTGCTAGAATTCCGATCTCTACACTCCTGCAGTTGGGAGTTGTGGGGGAGATAATGGATACAACATTATCGGAAGAGAAAAATGTCCCGACTCAGGTTGGTATCAACATTTGCTGCTTCATTGTGCGCTTGATGACGGTCACGCTGGCGTTAATTGCGGGCATCAGTTTGCGAAGTGTGTGCTCTGAAAGTTCTTCCCGGGTGAGTTGTGAACGGGTGGTCGCAATATTATGATGGGCGAGACGTTGGCGAGCTCGGCATTACCAGCCGTCTAGGCCTAACAGCAATCTGGGATTTAATCGTGCTTGTCGGCATTGGTGGTGTATATGAACAGTCTGTGCTGTGCCATTATTCGTGGTTCGGTTCCCGGGGACCAAAACTTGCCTGTGCTAATTCGTGAACTTCGGCTAACACATTTTGGGCAAAGACGCAAGGTAAACCGGTTTGTTGTCTTTTTTGTGTCTGGCTGTAAAGTGTTATGAAGCCATTAATGCGTTACGAATTATTATGATGTCTGTTGTGTAGTCGTGGAAGCACTTTTTAGTAGTTGTGCAAGAGGCTACAACATTTAATTCGTGCCAAAAAAAAAAAAAAAGAAAAAAAAATTTTTTTTGCTCAGGTAGGTAAGTCAGTCTGTCCTCAAAAAGTTTCCTGTCTACCGCTTGGCATTCGCGACAGAAAAGGCGTTATGTAAGTTCTAGATTTAGTTATGCAACCATATTGCTTGTGACGTGGTTTTTCTGCTTGTCTTTCCATTATTATTGTGCTACTGTGGCGTAAATTTAACGTAAATCGGTGGTCAACCGATGTGACTGAACAGCGGTGGTTAGGCCTAAAGGGATGGGAGCCTCCTTGCTTTGCGATGCGGTTGCTTGGGTTGGGCCTGCAAAGTTCTCGGATCGCACGTAGTCTACAGTCCGGAGCACGAACAGAGCGTCTAACCTGGAGTCTTGTAAACTCAGTTTCCTATTCGTTCTCAACGTACAAAAGAGCTTCTGGCCTGTGTATCCTGTCAGCTGCGGTTCGGTGATCCGGCCTGTTTGTTTTTTCTTTTTCTTTTCGCATATTGTTTGCGTTTTCCGTCATATCTTGCTTTTGCTGAAGGACCGTGCTAGTGCTCTCGATGGCAAACTGAGTTGCATTTGATAGCGGAGTGTTAAAAACATTTGCGCAATTGCGGACAAGCTGCATGGATGTAAGTAAAGAGGGTCGACCACTTTACAACTCGGGTTACCGATCAAAGCATGCGCAGCTAGTGAAGTGGAGTGAACCTCAACATTGATTGAGTTCGAACTTGTTCAACCTATTTGCAGACCCATTTCTGTGAGGCAGCTCCATTATCGGGGCTCATTTTGGAGCAATGCCTGCGCTCTTTACGGCGACTGGACGATGAAATGCGCATGGCTGGTAACTACCTGCGATAATCGATCGGGATTTTCAACCCGCCGTACCTCGGCTAGTTTTTCTCCCGTTAATTTAAATAGCTTTCTTGACTATAGTATGGTGCTAGTACACATTAAAGGTTCTACATCTGAGGCGGTGGTTATTTGCTCAACCGCGCTTGTTGTGTTGGCCTTGGTGCCGACCAGAAAATGGTTTATCTGTCCGAGTACGGACTACAAAGTGGTAAAAAAGTCAACTACTTTTTTCGTGACTGCTATTAAACTTGTTTTCTCTGTTCCCTTAATTACAAGGTAATAGCCTGTCGTCTTTAGCCTGTCGTCTTTTTCAGCAATTTCTTGCATTGTTCGTATGAGTAGTTTTTTTTTGTTTTTTTTGTTACCTACTTGTGTTTGCTGACTGCATTACTTGACACGTTTTTAATGAATTTAGGGATTTATTTCATGGGCGTGTATATATCTGAAACAAACTGCTTACTAAACCACACCATGTCGCTTAAAAAAAATAGCCATGTTTTATGGGTTGGAACATTGAACTGTAACTGAGTGTGGCCATTTTGGAACTTTGTAATAATAATAAAAAAATTTGTGAGCATTGTTGCACACACTGTAACAGCATCAGTAGCTGGTACTGGCTGCTTTATTGAGGAACAGGAAGATTTATTAAAGTAAATACACTTGGAAGGGTTTAGGCATTTCCTGGCTTATGCATACCTCGATTTGCAGCCAGGGGGAATAACTTTGAAGATAATAGCTGTCTACAGCAATTAAGCGGGACTGGTTAGCTGACCTCTTGTAACGGTACACAAAGACGAAACCAGAGTCTGTCCTCCGCCTTCTCCTTCCTTCATCTTTTTTTGCTTCCTTGTTCAGAAACTGACTGACATATCTAATTGGCTTTCAGAGGAGACCTTATAGCTGTGTTAGTATTTAATTTTTATAGGTGGTGGTTGGGTGGGTAGCAGTCATTAATATACTCACATAATCGTTGCTCTGTGATTAATCAGTGATGGCTTAAGTGGCACATGACTGGCACCGCAATCAAACTTCAACAAATGCAAAGTGCCAATTTGTTTTAGAACTCTGTTGTATGTTTCCTGGACAAAAATAAGGAATTGGCTTACCGACGGTGATGCAAAGTGTTAGGGGCCATCATACAATGTTTTTACATGTTGGCTACCAGTGTTCAGAATAAACTCTACATTTAGGAAGTGTGGAACAGGTGTCGGCTGTCATTTGCGAGCTCTAGCTTTTTCACGAAAAAGCACTCCCACATATGGAGGGTCACGTTCGAGATAATGGAAGCTGGGTTATCTTTTGGCAGTTCTGGAGTGGAGGGGTGCTACAATGCGGGTCTGCGGCCACTTCGGTTGCAGTCTTCAGAATGTCCTAGTGAAGTAAATTTGTAAGGTACCATGGAAGAGAAGTCCTCTCGAGTGGACTCTGAGATGACTGTCTTGCTCAATGTCTGGAGTAGCATTGAACACTCATGGATGCATGCTTGTGCTTGCAGGCCACGCAACTATGTGAATCTACGAAGCAGTGTGGTGGTACAGGTGGACACCCAGCTTCCCTGGCTGACCGCGAGCGCTGCCTGGTCACCTTTGACACCTGGCCCGAGGAGGTGCAGACGCAGTTTGTCGAGGCGTTGCTCTCGCGTATGTCGCACTGCCAGCACTCCCGCATCAGCACCTTCCTCAGGCCCATGTTGCAGCGAGACTTCATCTCCTTGCTGCCCAAGAAAGGGTGTGTGGCCTTCCCTCCCAGACGCACGGGGGAGCATTCCATTGTTGGTTCTGCTGTATGCCTGCATGCCGCTAGTTTGTCGAGTTGTCGAATCGATGCAGTTCACTCCGACTTAAGGAATGAAGAATAATGGAGTGGATTCTTTCCGGAATTGTTGACTCTGCTGCTGAATGGGTTAGGGGACACTGACCACATATTTATGCCAGAGCCGTATATGGGGAGAGTTTGGTCAGTCTATGATCTCGCCGCCGTAACGCGCTCCTCCCGAGTGAGCCAATCGGCACGTGGCGCAGAGCGAGAGGCATGAGCGCATGCGCGTGAACTCCCGGCTGCTCCCAGCTGAGTGGGGAGGGCCGCCATCTTCGATCATTCTCCCGGCGGAATGCGTGGGATCGGCATCTAAATCTCGATTATTGCCTTTTATATCGTTGGCTCTGGCAAGAAAATGACATTCTTTTATTCCTCGGTGGGTTAAAACGCTAATAAATGAAGATTTTTCGGCGTATGGCCGCAAACTTTTATTCAGGCGAAAAAGAAGTCGGCCCGTAGCAGACAGCGCGTAGCCTCAACAGTGCTCTTCTCCGACCAGTCGCCGACAGCGTTGCTAAAAAATGGTGGTCGTCTCATCTCTGCTCCCTTCTTTCTCTCTCGCTCCTTCGGCGCTCTCCTTCGTCGCCACACCCACTGGCCAAACTCTCCCAATATACGGCTCTGATTTATGCTTGCTAAGTTTCTTGCACCAACACAATCTACAAAATGCCAATAAGCCAGAAAAAAAAAAAAAAATTGTTGTTTGAAATTTGATTTTTATTCTGCACAGAAATCACCAATCGGGTGTTTGGGGGTGCTCCAACCCTCTTTTCCGTGACCACATGCGCTTACGATGTAGTGCACAAAATATTTTCAAAATTGTAGGCCGTCTGAGGCACATATTCATAATCAGAAGTAATATAATCCGTGAAGCATAATTTCTGTGGGCATGACAAAAATGTGTATTTACAGAAACATTGAGCATGTGGAAGCGGAGAGTTGCTCCCCGTGACTTCCTTGCTCTGTGGCATCTAAGTGCTTGAACCTGGTTTTGTGGTTTTGATTTTACCTTGTTGGTTTTTATCAACATATACTGTAAAACCCTTAATGTTCGCGAGCCCTCAATTTTCGCGAATTTCGCGAATTGAAGAATTCGCGAAATTTAAGGGCGCGCAAAAATTTCGGTCCTTAAGATTTTCAATGCAGGCGTCTGGAATTCGCGAAATTTAGTGGTTGCGATTATGTCATCTGTGACCGATTCGCGAAAAATAGGGGCCGCGAAAATAAAGGGTTTTACAGTATCAGACTGCAGCAAAAAAATGCTTTGGGGAAGAGTGCCTAAATGTCTTTCTCCAAATCATCTATTCTTAATTAAAGATAAAGAACAAAAGTACTACATACACTGCAGATAAGAGCCACATGTGATTCCTTGTGAATTAGGGCATATTTTTCTGCTGTGGTAAAATGGGAGGTCGTTTGGTACGCATCTGGTTCTAACTAGGAGAAACTTTAACCGGAGGATCCTGCGGCAAAGATGGCGTCTGCCGATGCGCGCCGGTTGTCGGGGCAGCGAGCCAGCATTGTAGAGTGCTGCAAGCGACATCAGTTTAGAGGTGTTTTTTTTTATCCTAGCGAAGATTGAAGGTTTTTGGAGGCCTTTGAATTAATAAACAAGTAATAGTTTATTTTTCGTTTGAACACCCAGCACTATGGATGCCCGGCAAACCCTCATCTTGTGATTCTTGAAGAGAATCTCAAGCTTTCCTTTCATCGGGGCTTGCTCCTGATCAGACAAGGGGACTTTTTGTGGTGCCACTGTAGCTAGCGGTGATTGCCAGAAAACCACAAAAGGCACTGCGAATACTCTTCAGCAAACATGAACCACCTTATGTGAAGGAGGCCTTCTAGAGCAGTAGAATGGTCCCGTTTTTGAAGCCCCTACAATATTCCTGGAACTGAACAAACTTGGTGCTACATTTTGCAGAGGATAAATGTTCAAAGTTCCACTACATTTACTCTCAGATATGGGGCCCTGGGCTGTAGTTTCCTTGGCCTTTTCTTAAGGGGGGGCCTAGCCTTAAAATCACAATTGTTTGAAAAAGTCATGTTTTTGAAAAATAGTCTTATCAGCTTGTATAACTCCCGAAGAATGATGTCAAAAAGTTTTATTCCTGTAGATCGAGTATTTACTCCGAAATAAATTATTTCTGATGTACAGGCGGCCAAGCGCGCTTCATAAAAACGCGCGCGGTCACGCCAATTTGCCATTCTCAAAGTGCGCTCGCTCCGCGTTCATTAGGTCTAGCACAGACAGACACCCCTCATTAGAAAAAGTGCTTAACCCTCCTTCTTTTGGTATAGAGCTCCTTGCGAGACGTTGTGCGTACCAAACATGAAACCGCATAGAAAAGAACACCGCACGTTCTCTTATTGAGCACACTGGTGAATAAGGAACTCCGATTCACTTAAACCTGCCACGTGACTCTATGCAGCGTGGAGTGTATATGCCAGTCTCCTGCATCAGTGCCTTGCCTGCATTCATACCACCCCCCGACAAGGAGCCAATTCATTTCGCTTGTTCCACTGGGATGGAGTCCTGGTGCCACTTGATCCGAAGCAAGGCTCTCAAGGAAGCGAGAGAATCACCAGCATCTCGGTCACATAAGCCAGCTTTTCCAAGGAGATAGCGGAGAAGCTAGTGCCCTTGTACAACCGCCTATCACGGAATGATTTTCTTGAAAGATGTTCCCAGATGAAAACCCAGAACGGGAATGATTCTTTCAACGCCTTGCTTTGGAAAAGGTGCCCAAAGGTCGCTTATCTAAGTATTGTCGAGTGTGCTGCGGCTCTTGCACTCTTCAACCTGGGTCCTCTAGGCTTTGAGAAAGTTATTTTGGAGGTGGGCATTGAGCAAGGGAGCCACCAGACATCACAGGCCGTGAAGGTCACTCAGACGAAGGTTGCAAAGGCCCAAGTGAAGGCACCGAGGCATCGCGCAAAAAACAAAAGATAGAAGCTGTGGCCAAAGCACAGAAGGGCAATGCAGAGGGGAGACTGCCGTACGCTCCTGGAGCATTTTAGGTCAAGTGGAAAGTGCCATGGAAAGTGGAACACAATATAGATTTTAAAACGCGTTTTCCTCAGCTTCATGTTTTGACCATTTTTTCATTGCTCAAAAACTATCATTCGATGACTGAAGTACCTTCGTAACTGCTGTGCGGTTTTTCTGGAGTGAAATTTACTGGAGAACTCGACTATGTGCTTACCTTTTCAAGATTGCTATCTCTTTAGCAAGAAAATGTCAACTTTTGTAACAGTAAAAATATGAATGAAATTAATCCCTTTTTCGAAGTTAACTTTAACGCTAAATATGGCGCTTAACATTATTTGAAACCCACTACCGATTAGTCTAGTCACTCATCCTTATATCCAAGGAAACAAATTGTGACATTTTGGTACTGTTTTGTAACGATAGTTTTTTCCCCTAGGCACTACTAGCTGCATAGTATTTTTGAGATATAAGGCTGTAACTTGGCGCGAAACTGACGTTTTTAGCTGAAAGTTGGTGTAGCCTCCCAAGTTTGCATGCATAGTATACCCTGCCAATTTTATTGAAATAGCACTAGTACTTAGAAAGGAGACCCTCTAAGGGAGTGCCTCCCCTTAATCGAGCGGTAGGACGGCTGCCTCTCATTTTTGATAGATGGTGCAAAAAATTAATGTATTTCGGCGTCGCTGGCAAGTTGTCAGTGGAACCCGAATTGCTGGGACAGATCTGGATTGTAACTGACAACTTGGTTGGTGCAACTCTGGAACGTTTGATGTGGAATGCACCAATTGAGGATAGAATATTTTGACGTGACCTCCCTGTGCTGGTTGTAATAGTGATTACTAAAGAAGGTGTTTGACTTTGTTTTGGTTTCATGTATATAATTTTCTTGGGCTAGAGATTCTAGGGGAATAGACCCTTTCCGAAATTCACTCTGGCCACTTTGATCACTATCAATAACTCAGATTCAGTCAATCTGTGGGCGGCACACAATCGGCTTTAAAGCACTTTGGTGTATAGAATTTTCTTGAGGCATCTGAGTGGGTTGGAGCTTTGTTCTGAATGCAGGTTCTTGGTCACCATCGAACTGAAAGTGATCGAGAAAGAACTCTCACTGAACAATTCCTCGCGTGCCGTTGACTTGCGAAATTGACTGTTCCGATACAAGTTCATTTCCGCCATTGATATGGCAAAACCTAAACTGCTTTACAAACCACCAGATGGCACTGAATTTCGGAAAGGGTCTATTGGTTAGTATTAACAATTTTATTTAAAAAAGATGTAAAAATTTGTTATTACTAGGTGAGTTTATGTTCATTAGTACAAGAGAGCAACATTTTGAATGATGACAAAACATAGCATGTCGCTGTTTTAACAGTTGTCACCTGTAAACGTAAGACCCAAGTTGCAAGGCTGCAGCAAAGGTTGCTTGCTCCATGTTAAATCAGCCTTGGAGATATTTGTGATGTCGTTCATAAGCATAAACATCAATTAATTTTTTTGCTCCGATTGGGCTGCAGTGTCTGGGGATCCTCGTGACCTATTGTATTCGCAACTCCAGCAGAGATGACTCCATTTAGCGGCAGAGACGTGAAGGAGAGAAGCAGGGAGCTACTGCCTATCTCTCTGTACAGAAAAAACTGATGTGGCCGGGCGACTGACATGCAAAGCAGATGAAAGGGGATTACATGCACGTGGTTAGAGTTGCCAACAGTATTTTAAAAGAGAGCCCCCTTCAAAATTTTTTTTCTTGACTGAACTGGGTAACAGATTGTCATTGGATACAAAAATGTCATCTTTGGGGCAGTAGCTCCGGTGTAACGATCTGCATTGCTTCTGTTCAACTCAAGAAATGTGTTTTCTGGGAATGGCCCGAGAACTTTAAGCATTTTTTTACTTGTGCCTGAATGTTGGATGAATCGGGCTGCGAAAGTGACCAAGTGATTTGCTCTTTTCAGTCTTGACCATGTGGCAGAGGCCATTTTGTCGTACCTGGACGCTCGCAGCCTATGTGCAGCCGAGGCAGTGTGCAGGTGAGTGTCCGTGTAGTAGTTTCAATGGATTGGTTGTATGAGACAAGTGCTGACCTGTTTGGACAGGCACCGCTCATTGTTAGTTCTTGAAACCCGCACGAGAGCAGGTGCTTGCATAGAGCGACATCGAGCATTCCCAGGAGCCTCCATTGTCCAATGAAGCGGCACGTCGTGCCAGTGGTGCATTCTTTACAGGTGCCTACCTTAGGAAGAACTTGCTAAGAAGGATCGATCTTGACTTGCTTTGTGCTGTTTGTGTGCATTAAATTGGTGATTTTTTTTTCTTTTCACTTGATTGCAATTTGATGTTTTCATTTGGCCGACAGGGAGTGGCGGCGAGTGGTGGCGGAGGGTGGCTTGTGGCGCAAACTGATGGAGCGGCGCGTGTCGACGGACCCTCTGTGGCGTGGCCTGGCCGAGCGCAGGTGCTGGATGCAGTACCTGTTCAAGCCGCCGCCGGGCGAGCCGCATCCGGACCACATGTTCTACAGGCGAGGCTCTTTCTCGAGGCACTACTCAAGGGGCTTGCTCGGGAGCATGGCTTTGCAGTCGTGCCCTCCAAACATTCTGCATGCACCATTCAAAAATATTTTTATTTGTTATCATGTACTACCGTAAAGTTCAGAAAAAACGCCCGACCTCAAGAGATCGCTCATCTCATTTTTCTGGCTAAATAACCGACATAAAAGCTCCGAAACATTGCCCCCAGTCAGGCTAGCTGTCAGGCTAGCTGTCACTGCCCAGTCAGGCTAGCTGTCACTGCCCCTGCCACTTCACGCCATAACAGTACGGTGCACTTGAGAATTCAAGATAGTTGAAGGCGGACGACCAGACTCGAGGTTCTGCGAGGCTTCCCTCCTCTCCACGTCTTCAAGTGAGGGAAGCAAAGGATGAAAAGAAGGGACTAAAAAAGGCTGGCATGGGTCCGTGCGCAATGTTCGGATGGTGGGGTGGTTCATGGTCAAGCAATTGAGCGTCTATTGTGCAAGCACGTGAATGGGGATACAAGCCTGCAAAATGAATGCCCCCTCAATGGACGCATCACAATCTGTGCACTAGAGGATTAGTGAAGGAACGTTTCAGGACCAGGATATGAGAACCGAATTTGTCTCTCACTGCGAGGTGCATCTTCGCCGGGTGCTTCTTTGATGACTGCTTTTTTTATTCTACATGAATTGAGGTTTCTTTTTTTAAATAACTACTGCCAAAATGTTGGAAGCATGGATTGGAATGCATTGGTATGAAAATGTGCGGGGCCACAAGGAAGGAAGAGTGCAGAAGAGTCTTTGTGCGAACTTCAGGGCGAAAGATAAGCTGCCGATAAGCCACAATTCGTACAAGGATACGGTGGGAGAACTTGATTACTCGCAGGTCACTGCATCTAGGAAGCAGGATCTATCTCCTCTTCTCGGGAGGCTGTGGCTTATTTGGCTTGAACATGCAATCACGTGTTTTCATACTCACAACTTTCGAACCATCATTTGCATGGGGCTGCGCATGCACAGAGGATGTTTTCTAAAATCATAAATATTTCGTAAGCTACAAAAATAAAAAAAAAAGAAAAAAAAATGAAGCATTTAAAAATTTAGAATCGCTTACAGTCGTAGTTAGCAACATTGCAAAAAAAAAAAGAAAAAAGAAATTCCCAAAAAAGCCGCCAAAAACCTAATGGAAACATATAAAGAAATAGCAGTGCACGGCACGCTGACTGAAAACCTGCGCTGATGTCAACGGCGTTGTAACTCGCGGACTCGAGACCGCTTGTCATTCATGTTGGGGTTGCTCTTTTTTAGCCTAACCCTTTTTTTTTTCTAATTGTCTAGTTGGAGTCTATGGTTTATCCGCCGTGGGCTTAGTGGAGCTCAGGTGGGGGGACGAGAAAGGGAATGGGGAGGAGCAAACAGGCAACGGTGGAAAGTGTAAGAGGGAGAGGAGGAAGCGATGGAAAAGTGGAAAGCACGAGCTGGTCGTTGGCCTTCAAGTTGTATTTGTGGTCATGGTTCAGGCTCTGTTGTGTGGCATTTGGGTCTATGCCACAGTTAAACACGTTCAAACAAACCCGGATAAAGCGAAATACACTAGTCGCTCGTTATAATGAAATCGCTTTTTTCAAATCGTTTTTATTGAAGTTCAACGTGGTCCTGACCGAAATGCATGCATTTGAACCAGATTATTCTAAGTGTATCGGCTACCGACCACGCTTATTACGAAGGTTGAGGTGTCAAAAGCATGCAATGCAAGCCTTCACAGGGGCATACAGAGACCCTTGCCGATGCACTGACCGGACTGCCGTGCCCACTGCCAACGCGGTCATGATCTTGTCGGAATCAAGTGAAGAAAGTGAAGGAGCATGGCGCCACCACGCCCCGCATCTTGCGTGCCTGCGGCGTATATGTGCGTCGTACGGGGGAGTGTTCACCAAAAGTCTCTTCGATCTGTGAGGTTAAAAAATGTGGCTGGCCCAAGTCCGAAATCGCCAAGGAATTCAATGTTCCGGCATCGACTGTTCAACACTGTCGACCATCTTGCAGAACAAGCAAGACATACTGGACTGCTTCGAGGAGAGTTTCTCATGCAGGAGAAAGCACATCCGTGGCTCAAAGATGAAAAATTGTCAACGCCTTTACACGCAGATTGGATTTTCTCCTGCACACATGCTTGTCGAGCCAATGCATAATTTCCAGAGGGGCAGCTATCTCTACAGGAGTGTGTGCGGACACATTGCTCATTATCCACTGAGGATGACTTCAATTCGTTCGCGCTTGTCTTTGTGGACATTCCTGTTGGTGCTTCCTTTTCCGGATGCTCCAATTGTACGCCTTGTATGCGGCCAAGGCAAACATGAAGTGGTGTCGGAGAGGCACATCAGGAAACACCAATGACTGCAGAGATGCGAAACATCCTACGGCTGCTTCGGACTGAAGTTCAGTACAGCGGAGGTGAGAGTGCTCTTGCCATGCCTGAAGCAGTTTGAGAAGAACTAATTCCCGGATGAAATCATTGAAAAACTCATAAAGGGAAACTCCGCTTCATTTTTGTTTTTGAAAATACATATATACAATCCTCATAGTATCACCAAGGAAGGCCACACGTCAAATATTACGACCTAGTTCTGTCCAAATGTTCCTTAAACAGTCCGGCAAACTTTGAAACGCTCCACTTGCTAAAATTTGCCCACTCTAGCGGGCGAATCAAGGGGCAATCAACAGCGCTGTCGAGGCTATGGTGTTGGTGTCACCAACATTGAGCTAAACATCAACATTTCCCCTTTTCATTAGTTTTTACCTCTTCGTCTTCGTCGTCTCACCGTTGGCGATTACTGTCTCTCAGAGTTTCGTTCACATTCTGTGTGCAGACTGATGCCGCAGTTGTGTAGATGTCGTCGATTGTCATAGGCATCAAAACGGGGTGAAGACTGCGGTGCAGACGACATTTGCGCTTAGCACATGCCCTCCTTTACGGTGGCCCGCCTTGATTCCACCCGTCGTTGCGTAGAGGATCACATGACATCTCATACCACGTGGTAGCCATGATTTTAGCCGCCCGAGGCCAATGTCGCCCGACGGAGCCAAAGTTTTGGTTTTGATTTCTGCTCATGTTTAAGTAACACTGACAGGTCAAAATTTTTTTCTTTTTTTTTATTATTATCCGAAATGATTGAAAAAGATGCCTAGCTTTTACCCACAAAAATTGAAACTTGGGAACTCGGCATTGATGAAGTAAAAAAACAATTTCCGAAAGCCGAATTTGAACTTCCCGCGTGATCCGCGCCACTGCAGTGGCATCAAAGATTGAGTCGCCCTGCAACTCGAGTTTCTCTCGCGCCTCTGAACTGTCCCGGCTCGAAATGTCGTGTTGGCGTGCGTCCCGCTATCAACCGCTTTCCTCCGTGTTTGCCGCCTATCCCTGTGAGCAGACGACGCTTCACATTAGGGTTTGAAGATCTTTTAGGGCTCTTTCAGCGATCTAATTCTAAAAAGGTGTGTGGTCTGAGAGAACGCACAGTGGACTTTGGTGAGCGACATGAGGGGCCACGTTTTGCCGGTTCTGCGTGAAAGGCTGCCCCGGTGGAGTCAGAACCGAAACTACGGTACATAGACATCAAACCCAGTATTTTTGACCGTTTGATGATTTCCTTTTCGAAGTCGGAGAGGTCGTCGGGCGCCTAAAAAAAGAGAACCTAGTCCGATTTTCGGACTTGCCAATCATCCTCACTGCTACATGCGTCGAGCGGTGCCATGTTTTCCGAGGGAGGATCAAATGCCAGGAGGCGACATCACTCCGGACTCTGATTTTCAATATTTTAAAAGGAAGGGCCGTAGTGCGTTTGCAATCGCATTAAAAAACATTATTTACGAATGCCATTATTAAGTAGTATAGAAATGTCGCTTACAAAGCTTTTAAATTTCATAATCGATTACGTCGTAAATAAAAAGAAGTGAGGAGGTGAGAAGCGGGAGGAGAAAAACAGCAAAAATAAAAAGGGGTGTGCGTGCGTGATGATATTGGTTTTTGCATTGTGGTATTTTTTTGCGTGTCTATGACTACAACTTGCATTGTTTTAGACAACAAAAAGAATACAACCTTTGGGGTGTCAGTGCTTCTTTAAGAAAGTCTTCTGTGCATTTAGGTACACAATTGCTGGACAATCTGTTATCAGCATGAACAGAATGCCTAGGAGGAATGGGCAAAGTCTTTTCATACTCCATATTATGGCCATCAGCTCCAGTTTTCCTGCATGGTAGTTCTTCTTGGCATCAGCGGTGCACTTACTAACACAAAACACCCGGTGCCAGCGTCCTTCCTGACTCGTCTTATTGAAGAATCATTCCCGGAAGTCCGAGCTTGCTTGCGTCTATGTGGAGTTGGGGCCGAAGAGTCGTACAACTTCAGTATACACCTTTCCAGCGGCAGTCTCGAACGAAGCAATTTACAGCGCGCGTCCCTGGTTTTGAGAGTGTACGGCAGTGTTGCCCGACTGCGCTGAGCTGTGGAGTTTCTCGTCAGTGGGCTGTGGCAGCCTGCGTAGGCGCAATTTCGGATGCTGGTGGCGGCTGAATTGCCGCGTTTTCTTTTTTATTTTGTGTTTTGTGGCGAATATAATTTATAGAGGTATTTAAGAGAGCAGTGCGCTATTTTTGGGAACAAAAACAAAGAAATGAGGCTGTTTTGGTGAGTTCGTGCTTGACAGAACAGTTGCAACTTGAATGTTTGTTTCATTTTATGTTCATCGTTTTACGGCACCGTACACTCAGCCGTGTCAATCTGTAAAGGTCAAAATATTTGACCACACAGGATATCCGAACTGCATGGATATTCCCCGCTCAGAACATGAAATTCAATGAGTCTCATTAATCGAACAACATATATTGTACATACCCCACAGTGCCGCGTTATCTGAACAGGATTTGAGAAAGGTCCCAAATAACACAGCATATCCAATACAGTGTCGCCGATAGTCACTTCACGACGATCGGACGTAATCCGGTGT